CCTTTTTTTTTTTTTTTTTTTTTTTTTTTGAAGAATTTTAAGGGTGCTATCCCACGTGTAGAAATCGAAAGTATCGAAAAATTTCAGAACAAAGATGATTGGTCAACCCCCGCTAAACTATTTTTCGATTCTGTCGTTCCTGTATAATGTATAATAAATTGTTTTTGTAATTTTTTCTTTTCAAGTTGGCTTAAACATGTAAAGTAGTTCATAATAGTTCCTTACAAAAGTGGATCATTATTCTATGATGACAAAAATTTTAATTGACAGCAATGAGGAATTTCTTATAATCGCAAAGTTTTTGAAAGAAATTTTTTTTAGATGAACACGTGCAATCCCATGAAATTATTACTAATATTTATGAATGGGCATTTATTAATCATAATCAAATGTATGGTTGGGTCATTACACATTCAGTGCGTATAAGCAATGGTACCCAATATGTTGTTAAGAAATGAAAAAAATTTTTAATAAATTGATGTTCAATTTATAATTATTTGTTTTAATTATTATCTTACATATGTGCTGAGAATTATAAATAACTATTAAAAAAAGTATAACTCAAGTTAAAAAATATAGGTTTATTGAACAGTCTGAATATGGTTTTACCGTAGAGATCGAATGGATGAGCCAACTTCAGCTGATGCAATGCTCCTAAATAACACTATACGTTTCGCAACGATGCGAAATGGTCAATCAGTTTTTGGTTATGTCAATCAAATTTTGTTTGTAAAACAAAAAAAATTGTACATTGAGTAAGTTAAATTTTAACATGGCATGCAGTAAAAATTGCAAATAACATATCGTGTGTTATAAGCAATAAGTAATAAAAAGATAACGATGCTCCACCGTTACTGGTTTTTACGCTAAACATTATGTTGAATTTAAAATCGCATTAAAAAAATCCTAGCTTATTGCTAACAAATTGTTATTTTCTTCGAGCAATTACTTTATCTAGCATATTTACAAAAATAGCAGCGCAAAGGTACCCACTTCGCTTGCTGCAACTAATACCGAGCATTTCCTGCATATTTCCTAGCACTATTCACTTTATTTCTATATGATAGTAAACTTAATACGTATCCTCAGCAAACCTCTCCAGAAAAGTATTTCGACTGTTTTGCAACAGACACCTTGCCTTTTTTCTGGGTAAAAAATATACTGCCGGTTAACATATGTATTTACACTTACCATTAGAATCTACTTTTTTCCGTATATCCATTGTCACTGTCAGCCACGAAATATGTTAATAACAATGATAATCTATGTATCAGTACGACTCGTGAGATTTTTAATCAAGCTACCTAAATTCATCACGTGCATATCAATGGTGAGTATAAAGTAATTATAATAAGTAATTAGAAATGCGGCTAAAGAGTTCAAGCTTAATGGATAAATCCCATTAATGTTAGACATCAACACAATCTACGAATTCGCATTGCTATTCGGTGTCTGTGAGTATGTGGCGTTTGATTGAGACGTCATTCAGTCATGTGTGTTGACTGATAGTTCCATTAACACGCTCGCGTACTACTTATACGTGTCAGAGATTGGGATGCGTGTGCGTTAACGCACTTATGTTGTTATATATTATAGTCGTAAACGAGGCTGTGTTGTATATATATATATATAATTGTACGTCTATGTAAAACTATGTTTATACAGGGTGGGGTATTTATAATGATCAGATCGATATTTTCGAAAACAAAGCTAGATATAAAAAAAAATTTCAGACCAAAGTTGTAGAGTTTCAAGGGAGACGTAAGATTCCGTAATTGAATTCCTTCCCGAGTGCAGGCATTAAGGTAGTTCAAGGGTCAACATTAATTTTTTCAATGGGATGACGAAATTTTTCTTCCAGAAATCAAAAGAGCGTTCAATACCGAGGCTAATGGTACAAGTACACTAACGACCCAAAATTGACAGGTGATAAGGTATTTTAAAAATAAGAATACATACACGTTCTAGGTAGCCAACGTTACCTGGGGCAGATTGTGCAGCGTAAATTGACTAGGACCATTAGGTAGCCAGGAACGTTAAAGATGCCTGGCTTAAATTTTCTCGCGTTTCGCGCTCCACTAGGACTCGAATTTCTTGTAGAATGCAACGAGGGTGAAATAGAGAGAGGGAATAGTAGATAGTAAATCCCGAGGAATGTAGAGGTTGGATATTTTGTCTTGTTTTTAAGATATCTTCTCACCTGTCAATTTTTGGTCATTGGTGTACTCGTACTTTTAGACTCGAAATTGAATGCTCTTTTGACTTCCGGAAGAAAAGTTGCATCGTCCCATTGAAAAATTGAAAGTTGATCTTCGAATTACCTTAACGCCTACACTCGGGAAGGAATTCAATTAAGGAATCTTATGTCCCCCTTGAAATCCTACAACTTCTGTGTAAAACATTTTTTCTATATCTGGCTTCGTTTTCCGAAAAAAAAAAAACAACCTCGTCACTATAAATACTCCACCCTGTATATAAATATATGTACGCGCCAAATCAGTATTGGTTTATTCAAAACTTCATGTAAATTTTTGTAGAAAGATCAATAAATATATTAGCTATTAAATATTTCGACTATTGATCTGTGAGCTCCTATTTTCTTCATTTTGTGGATTTGCGCATTGTCATTATATATGGTGATAAAGATTTATTGGTAAAGTGATAAAGCAATGCTATTAAGATATGTATCTTCGGCTGTTCAATTATTATCGTGAAATTCATTATTTCGTCATGGATTATATTACGCATAATATTAGTACTACTTGTATAACTTTCGAGCATTGATAAAATTTATTGTCAGCCGTCACCATTAACCGGCGTATCCCATTAGCAGCTGATAAATTATTTGGTATTGATTTGACTGAGAATTTCGTAAGAAGGTAAAACCTCATCGTCGAAAAAAAACACAGCAACGTGTTTATTGGTAGAACCGATGAAAATTGATGGACGATAAAAAATTTAATTTACCCATGATTTGACACACAAAAAATTATTTATAAAAAATAACGTTCATACATATTATAAATTTAGTCTATTATTCGCGACAGTCTCAAATTACATCCTTAACCCCGAACCTCGACACGAATACTAAAGGAACGTGATCTGCTAGCGATGCGACGTGAACCACGTTCAGAGTTTACAATTAAAAAAAAATCCCACGAGCGACCGTAAATTTCTAGCCAGACCCTCGTGGACGTCATAGTCATCCTAAAAAATCTCATCCCAGTAGAAAAATCACTAGCATTAATGATCAATAACAAAAAAAAAAAAGACAAAGAAAAGTCCCTAGTACCCAATACACTGTTATTGGCACATAGATACTAATCAAAAAAAAAAAATTTACGACCCCTTCCCAGCGTTGAAAAATGGCCAACACAAGTGAAAATAATATAAAAAAGAGGTGGGGGTAGGGATAGAAGATATTTTTGGAACGCGAAAAATTGTTTCATTTGAATCACGTGGTTTATGATGATAATAATCATGGGAATATAAAAAAAAATAATAAAAAAAAAACTCGATGAAAACTCTTCTGCATCGATCGGCTCTATTAAATTATTCGGTATTGCGAATCCACTACCCCCGTGCCCCTCTTTTCCACCCTCTGGTAACCCCTCTCGGTCGGGGTAACAAACCGAGGCAATTAACAATCAATCACGGGTGTCTCTCGCGTCATTGAAATGACGTCAAACATTGTATTTGTGTAATTGTCCATTTATTCCTGTCTCTCGCCTGTCACCTGACAAATTGCGAGCTCCGGATCCCGCGGCGCGTGCGCGGTCCACGCATTTTCCTGTCAATCGCGAATGAATCGTCGCCGGTTATATTAATTAGCGTAGTCCCTCTGGGAAACCGTTAACAGTAATTACGAGTGGCCAAGCCATTCGCGAGGTACACTGCGTAAGAGAATTTGTACAGGTGGACGATTGGTAGCTGTAGGTAAATTTAGGCCAATATTTATACAGCTTCTGGATACTGATTCTATGATTTAATGATAACGGACATAGTAGTGAACGTAGGAATTATTGAGTAATTGTTGTACAGCTTGAAAGAGATTACTGATATAAAATATTTATAAGATCGAACGGGTTTTACATAAACGACGGAGAGATTATGTTTGTTTATTGTAGTTTGAAATAAATTAAAATTGATATAAAAAGAGTAAGAAGTAAAATTTGTAGGTTAAGATTTTTTTTACCGACAACTAATGCAGAGTTCGTTACCGACCGAGTATGGTTATAATGATTTCTAGTAAATTCCCCCATTGTGTTTTAGGTTTGGTACGGGTACCAGGTACCTCCGCAGGAATTTACTTTACGATCGAAATTAACATAAATTACCGAGTACCCCTTTGCAATTTACAGTCCAATAATTATCCATTTTCTGTTTGCATTGTTCTCGACGCTGCAACTAACAATTTAAGGAAATTTCCATAATAAGCTACGGTCAGAAGTAATATTACCCGAGGCATAAATACCTTCCTTAAAACGGCCAGACAATACCGTCGGCACATCGTACTTCTTCACCTGCTGCAACCTTTTAAACCTTCCTCTTTGTAAACCATCTTTCAGTTTTTCTCCGAAGATCCCTGATAAGCCGCAGCTCTTCATTTACATATTATTATGAACCTGATATTACATGAACTGGCGTGCCGTGTCGGTTCTGCGTGGAATATCGCACGTCTGAAAGATGCCGCTTATTTTCCGCCATTAATTTCCTTACGGAGAAACAACAAATGGTAATACCATAAGTAACCTACTTTAGGTTAGGTTAGGTTAGGTTAGGTTTCACGGTCTTCCATATGTGCATCAGCCTTTTTCCTTTTAAAATTTGTTATTTGGCTCCTCTATAAGTTGTGAGTATCGCTGACGTATTTGATTCTGGATAAAAAAAAAACCATTAAAATTAAAGACTACATTGATTCGTATCAAACGATTCTAATTTAATGACTTTTTTTTATTTCAGAATTTCAGCGGTACGTACAACCCGAGTTGAATCAAGTGAATGGCGAACCCAAGCTTTAGATATGCAAATAATCCAGAGAGAACGTTGTACGTAACTAACCCCTGAACGGTGTCTTCCTCGACGTATTTATAACTCCTTCCTTCCCGAGAAGACGACGTTGCGGTCCTCACCTGATGAACATCCGCCTCAAGCTCAAGTTTATTAAACCAACTTGGCGGAATTATGAATAATTTCACACCATTGTTTCCCTACGTTCTGACCTCGAAGATTTTGAGGTTATCTGTCACGCTTTGTTATTTTCCGCCTTTAATTATCAAGGGAATATAAATATTCCAACAAATTAATTGATGCCTTCATGAAACAAAGTCCGATTATGAGCACCAATTGATGAACCAAATGTACAGAAAGGTAGTAAAATAAACTTAATTTTTTAATAAGTATTCAACCAAATTCTTCTACCGCCAGAAAATAATGGAATTATTAAAAGCACGAAATCTCAATAACATAAATTCACGCACTGATAAGGGATCCTTTAATCCTTAATCCGATAGCATTCACAACGTGTAAATGTGGTGAAGTAATGTAAATTTTCCAGCGGTGCCATCTGCCGCCACGGTTGGTAGGTTCACTGTAAGCATCTTACTCCTAACCTACAAGCGAGTCCTCATTTTGAAGGCTTTGAGAAATCTCACGCTCACGAGCACCGGTCTTATTTGTCTAAGGTTTTAAGCGTCGCACGCGAGGATCTTCCACGAGGAGGGGAACGAAGACGGGAATAAAGACAAGTCTAGTATCACGGCTTAGACAGATTTGATTTCGTAGTATAAATATTAATGCGTCAAAGGGCCGTGAAGATAGTCACTGCTCATTCCTTGAGTAAACTGACGTTAACAGGATTATACACATAATTCATTTGCAAAATTATAAGACGCAATAATAAATGGAAAACCCTGCCAAAATCATCAAACCGTAAATACATATCAGTCCTTTTTATTACTACTGATTCAATATTTCACTAAAATACATAAACTCTTGACACTTACCGCATACCAGGCTTATGATTACCGAACCGGTCTGCAAACAATGCCTAATTACATAATTATTGTGTCGCTGTAATTAAGACACATTACTCCAGCCAGCCGGTAATTCATTATGCTTAATGTCTTCCCAGCCTCTGCTGTACCATCGCGGTTGACAGCTGTGACGGTTCTGCTAAATACCGTTACCATGAAATATTACCACTGCATTAATCGACTCATCGCGAGCCAGAAGTGTACCGTTCGATTTTCTGATAAATCAACCCTTCGTAAACTTATCATTAAGTTTGTTCAAAATTTTCTTCCGCTATGCTTACAGTGTGCATCTAAAATTCCCCAGAAGATCTCAATAAGCTAACCTAACCTAGTTTCTCAACAACAGTCCCCCTCAGCATTCGTTACCACACCCAAGTACCCGACTCACCTTGGGGAATGATTTGAAAACGAGGAAAATGGAGACACGAATCGTATGTATTATTAACGGTTCTCAAATAGTATACCAATGATACAGACCGAGTGTCACGGATTCGGTATTTACACAGGGTTTTGCACATAGTCGTCCAAGGGTGAACACGGGGAGGTCGCCCAGTGGTGGTGTGAGGATCGAAGCCAACCGAACCGAAGAATTGATAAATTAGTTATTCCGTCAGTCGTCTGTCGCAACTCGTAGCTGCCGGTGCCGTGTTTGATCTGAGGTTACCGAGAGCGTGTCCGTTTGCGCGATGCCTTCACGGAAACCTGGAGCAGCTATGTCGACGGCTTTCGTGAAAACACCTTGATCCATGATGGTGCACTCACACGTTGCGTGATAAATACAACTTGACGTTTACGCAATGAAAATATCAATAATTTTAATTATTGTACAGGTATACCAACACTATTTTTTTCTAATTTCTGTACACAGGTATCCACGGGGAGTTACAACTATAATACTGTCAATTAGGCCTAGTTTCAATTAACATTGCTTACGGTGATTCCCATGATGCTGGTATTTCTTGAATGATGATGATGATAAGCGACATCAAAGTATTCATCGAGTTTTAATGATTTATGGGCAAAGGGGATATCTGTGCAGTCACCAATTTTGACAAGACCAACTATAATATTTGCTTATCATTAGATAACGGCAGTCTGTAGCAGCGAGTGTGCGATGCAGTAGGTACCCTTGGTAAACAGTGATAAGGGTTATGACCATGAGAGGGTTTGCCTTTGAATTTGAAATCTTCTCTGAGACCCTCGCGGAGTCTTCTATCCAATTAACTTCCTAAGAGTCCAATGCTGCAGTAAGATAATTCTATCTAAGATAGTACCCGACTTAGAAAGCTGGATTAGGACCATACCTTGTTCTCTGTTTGTCCAAGTACTTATACGTCTCTGCCATTACTTCCTAGAGAAGTACACACGGCATTATACGCATATACATATACAAAAACCCAAATATACAATACAATGACCATATAAAGCAGTAATTAATCCAAATTCCAAATTTTTTAAATTCTAAAAAACCCACCCCATTCAATTTTTTCTAATCTAATTAAGGTATTACTACGGACCGAAAAATAACAAAATTTTCAATGTAAGATTTGAAGAATGCAACCTCAACTTTTTAACTGGTCAGTTCGCTCACACACGCCCATCCTTCCATCGATAGGCGCACACTAATGTACATTGGATATAATAGTGTATACGTATATACACCGAATACAGTCTCAAACGCAATGTTGCCGTAACGCTCTTTTGTCTAGTCGTCGTACGAGAGATTTCGTAATAAATATCGAACTTCTTTCATGTCTATCAATAAATCCTATGAGTAAAAAGTTCTGACTAAAAATCTAAAAAGTTCCTCATTTTTTCCTTTGCCACATACTAGTTCTTCATCGGAATTACGCGGGCGAGTCAAATGCAATAAAAAAAACCATGCGCGTTTTATAGGCCAGGTATAGGGAATACGTGTTACGAGTCCTGAACTTTAACTCGGAAATACTCGGAAACTGATGAGTGAATCGTGTTAAAAATTTGTAGAGAGATGTACTGCTATACAAATCAGACGTAAAACAAATTTCAGCTCTATTACGCGGTTTTGAGTTTACCGTAGTAATACCTTAACGTACGCACTCTTCACTGTATTGGATGTATGCAAAACGTTCTACCCGTTTTGCATGATCCAAGCTTTAAGAAATTTTATTCTAAAACTGAGGTATTCCATAGAAGAGCTATTCAATTGCTGGCAAAAAGATGGCAAGAGGTCATAAATAATAATGACGATTATATAAAAAATTAAACATGGTATTTCTTTTTTAAAAAAAAAAATTATTTTTCTTCCATACTAAAAAAAAAACGTAGAATTTTACACATACCTGTAATACCAACTGATCCAGGCACTGTACGATTGACGGTCGATTCAGTTCGATCGTAAAATATCGAACGGACGTTTAGACCGCGCGTGCACGAATTTGCAAGATGACGCCGTTAATGGACGTATAATGCGGTGTGTGATTGTAGGCCCGCCAATCGCGGCCGATTGTGCCTCTGAAGGCCCGCTAACTATCTCAAACTAGCCCCATTCAAACTACCAACCTCTCTCTTCCATATACGTTCAGTCCTGGCCGATACACATATGCTATATATATATAGGTTGTACACACACGTACTCAGCAAAGCCATCACCGTCGGCGACCCTCAACCCTATCCGACACACGTCCTCTACAGGAATTTCGAATTCATCAGCAGCTACACGGCGACTGCGTGTTACAGGTATAGTATCGAAAGAAAAAAAATTCATTCAGGGGATTCCCCCTTGAGCAACGCAGATACAGGATAGATATCCAAGAAGGGATACATCGGATTTTGTTATCTATCGAATCCCAGTACGTCATCTGAACGTCTAGTATTATCTGGAACAATATAATGGAGTCGGATCGTCCGGGCGAGAAATATTGAACCGGCGCCGCGCTTTTGACCGACCGCATTTCAGGTGACGAAAATTCAATTTACAGCCTGGGTAAACGGTACGGGATGTAGAGAGTAGCAAGGAACACGGTTACAGAGGGGGAGAGAGAGAGAGAGTCAACTATTTGCACCAGCTTAATAAGGACGTTTGACGGTGCTGGGCTCTCTCCCTTAACAAGCCGACTAATATCCCCAGGCAGTATAGTATTCTCTTACGGTTAAGGGGACCGGCCACCCGGGAACTACTGAAGCTTGAAAATCGAACAAACTGAGTTAGAGAACTCGGGTGCGAACCACGTCCGTTCCCGACCTTCTATCGTAGCGACTTTCCTCCGCCTTCCCCACCAGCTCTCTCCTCCTAAAATTTACTTCCAAAACTATCTCCATGCGTTTAATTCTCTTTGTTGTCTTGAAGTGCAATTAAGCTGCGGTTGATCTTCAGATTTTAACGTTCCTCGCTTCCGGATTATGTTAAGCATCATGCATCATGCATTATAAATCAGATGCAGCATATGCATTTATCAAGTATTTTAATTATGGGTATACTTGTTCCTTGTAGATTATGTTCATTATATGCTTTGGTGATGTCGGAATAGTGATGATGATGATATTATTTGCATGATTGCTGAGACGACTTCCTCTTTTTTTTTTCTTTTTTTTTTTTTTCTTCATTATACAATATGTTTGGCGATGAATATTTAATGGCTGATTTGATGTCGGATAAAAGAAAACCAGCGACAATTTATTTGTTCCTACTTAACCTACGCGTTACATTATACACATATACTATAGTACGAATACTAGACGGTCTTGTTTTTAATCAGAAAGAATTGCCTCAATGAGACTCTTTAATCAGTAACTGCTTGCATTTACTTGAATTTATGGCAGTATATTGTTAATTATTTTGTTCCATCTCGTTGACTTGTTTCTTGTCAGCGCAAATATGCTTAACGCGAGAGTGAATCTAGGTTCGCAATTTGCGAGCTACATTCTTACTAAGTATTTTCAAAAAATATATATATATATATACCTAGCGAATCATGATACGCTACCTGACGTAATCAAAGAATAAGTCATTTCGAAGAATGACTATAGTAGTGACGATTCATAACTAAAAATCAAGGATCGTTAAGTATCTGGCCCATTCGTTAAACGTTGAGTTTCACTCTGTAAGAAAAGATCAAGATAGCTGATATATAAAGAACGTGGAATTCTCAAGATTCTCTTCATACCGTTTTAACGACTATGCTAGGTCTATGGCGGCTGCTCGTATCCTCTAATAGAATAGTTTCTCCTATTTGTACATCAGATGATGATCGCGGTCTCCATCTACCAGTTCCATCAAGATACCTAGGCTCTGGTAACCATCTATAAATAGTACGCATTACATAAGCCTCTGTACCAACCCTAATAAGATTTTGATTGTGTATTAATTATCACCGATGGATCGCTGGCGAGAGCAGATCTCTGTTGATGTATGCAGGATTCTTTGGTCCAGTTATCCACGTAACCATACCACCAACAATGATAACCACAGCTGCTCCCAGACCAGAGAACCAGTGATACGACAACCGATACAAGGGAAACACGTTCTCCTCGCTGTTGAATAGGAAAATGTATACCATTCGATTTAAAATTATCTTTTGAAAATATGAATCTCACTCACTCTGGAAACTCAAACATTTCAAAGTATTTATCGGATATATTTGCAGGACAGTAGGCCACGTCCATTGGTATTTTTTTAGGAACCAACTGACCGGAACCCAGAGACGCATTCGCCCCAAGACTCGCCCATCCAGCAATCATGAATCCTGCAATGGCACCCACAAATGCACCCTATCCGGTAACAAAGAAAATGCGGGAACCTTCAATATAATATTTTTACAATATGCGAAAGAAAGCACCGACTATCTGTGATAGACGACTATCAAATCATAATAATCAATCCTGTCGTAGTAATCAAGGATTAATAAATCATAGGTATCGCAACAGTGTAAATCTTACCTTAGAATTGGTCCAGGGAAATAACATTCCTAACGTAAACACGCCAAAAGATGTGCCAGCAGCAATGGCTGCCAAACTTCCTGTAACCTATTTAAATTGTCGTTAATAAAATTACGTGTGATTAAATACCTGCCTACAGATATGATACAAATGCATAGAGTCACTCACAGCCAGAACTCCTCCTAGCTTATTAACAAGGAATGTAAAAGACAGAGCCAGCAGACCGAGGAAGACGACTATGCTTTTCACGAAGATAGTCGCACAACGGTCGCTAGGATTCAATCTGCAGCAACCCTTGACAAAGTCCTCCAGAAGAACAACGGACGTAGAGTTCAGACCGACGGATAAGGTACTAAATAATATCAGTATCGAACCTTATATCAGAATATTCATCATTACATCCACTTTGATTAAAAGGGAAGCCAATGAAATAAAATAAAAAAATTATAATTGCCTAAGAGCAGCTCCAAATATTCCAGCGATAAAGAGTCCCGGTACCCCGTGAAGATGTCCAGCTATTTCCATAACAAAGGCCGGTAACAGTTGATCATCCATAGAGATAAGACCGGAAGCTCTTGGATCACAATGTGGCGGCGAATACCAAGCAACAAGAACCAATCCGCACCAGCAGCAAATTGATATAAATGTCATAACGCCAATTGTAAATATTCCTACAGCTCTGTATATAAAACAAAAAGTGCCCACTGATACATTTTTATAATTCTTCGATAAAACGGCATCAAATATACCTTTAAGTATAGTTACGAAAAAATCAAATCCATACCGTACTCACTTACAGTTTAGACGTTTTCATATCAGGAAGTGACCTGTAGCGCTGGACCATCGTTTGATTAACCGAAATATAAGCTGTACTATATAACCACGATCCAAGAAGAACAGTCCAAACGGTGTGTCTGGTATAAGGTGATGCGTCGAAACTATAAAATAAATAACGAATAAAAACCATAATTATTACAAGCAGATCGTAAAGCTTCCAAAAAAAGTGTAACAATGATGATATGCTCACTTGAGAAATTGAATTCTGTCAGCCTGCTCCGCCTTTTGCCATACTTTTTGAAACCCGCCAACATGATAAGTGCCCAAGCCGGTAACGACTATAACGGCTGTTATCATTACACCAACCTGTAGTGTATCGGTCCACACAACAGCCTTTAAACCACCCTGAGAAGAGCATACAAGGACTCTAAGGACGTAACGAGAAAACTCGTGATATAGAAGATAGGCGCATAACAGAAGACGAACAAGGATGGATAGGGTTTGAAGGGTTTTAAGGTTAGGCGAAGCTTTTCGAAAGTTCGTAAAGCTCCGTAATACCCGACAACAACTATCGCTTCGCTCTGCGCTCCATCATCGCTTTGCAACGCTCGAGTTCGGCCCTCGTTGTAATAAACAATTTGCAAAGAGTCACTCAGCCGTGATAAATTCTCATTAATTCAGAGTTTAACAAATTGCTCGGATAATTACACGCGCGCGCGATTAATCACTTTAACGCTGGCTTTGTGACCTGCACTCTCCCTCTCACTCGCTCTCTCTCTCTCCCCCTCACTTTTTATCTATTCCTCTCTCTTTCTTTCTCTCTCTCTCTCTATGTCTCTCTGTAAGAACAGCCACTCGACGGTCCGCCATTGTTTTCGCTTTCCCATTGTGAGCTTTCAACTTCTGCTCATAAACATTTTGTCAGACTTGCTAAAGGAGAGCCTTCACCTTGCGACTCCTTGGAAACGCGCCTTTTTTCCGACCATCCAAGAATCCTTGAGTGTTACCCCTTCTCTCATTGTTTTATTAAAAACATACAGCTAACTTCATAGGGATAATTGTCGAGACTTACTAGAACCGTGTAGAAGACGCAGATCCCGCAGACTACTGCCCCAATTATGTGCACGTCGATACCGCTCACTATAATTAATTTATGCAATTAACGATTAATAATGAGAAATATTTTTAATCTGGTGGATAAATTATATTTAAATTAAAAAATCAAATTATCACCTTGATTCAGTGCTAGCGCAGGGACGTATACCACGATCGATTGATAAAGCACCTGCATTTATGATAAATCACAAGTCCAGTATAAACGTTCGATTACTAGACTTTTAATTAGTCTCCGCATAATTGATCATGCAAACCAATACTAAATGTTGAATCATTTATTATTAGGTTGCAGATATACGGAGACTGTCTTGAAAAAATATGTCGATTGTCTTACCACGTCCACGATGAAGATGAAGGATATTAGGATTCTTACTGCACGATTAAAACGTATCTCCAGGTACTGAAAACAAGAGAAGAAATGGAGGCAATTAATTGGAATATTTAAGAATTCGATAAATTGACTAACCTCGTAAACAGAATTCAACTGCAACCTCGCGAAAACCGGAAGGTAAACCTCAGAGACGACTGTACCAGAAATCAAGATGGAGAGAATTGTAATCCAGTATTGTGTACCAAAATTAAAAATCTCTGCTGGTGTACCGAGTATAGTAACGCCGGAAATGAAACTGTGTGATACAAATAATAAAAATTGTAATTGAAAGTATCGATATCATAAATAAACAGGAATAGGAAACTCATTTAAAAGATAAGGTCAGTCAAGCTACACGGAATAACCTATGTGTTATATTATTTCAGTGATTTATTAAACGAGACTAATCAATTAAATCGGTCAATTGGATAAATCACGAGTAGATATAAACGTAACGATAAATGCTTAAGACTAATTTTTTTTTTTATTAAAAAATTCCTTACCTGGCAATTAATGAAAAGGAAATGGGAAACAACCCCATATTACGTCCTCCAAGTAGATATTCTTCCGTACTAGATCGTCGTACTTTTTGAAAATGCCACAAACCTGCCGATGCGGAAATCGTCAACATGGCAGCAAAAACCAGCCAATCAGCCCAATGGAAATAGAATCTCTCAGTAAATTGACTCATCTTACCGAGTGAAAAATACTAAAAAGAATAATTAAAATATTGCTGATTTATACAATTTAAATATAGCTCCTAACCGACTTTCGTAATACTACATTTGTATGCGGTTTTTCGTAAACCCGTAAACCTTAGTTATTATATTGAATATTTTCAAAACATGAAAAACTATAAATATATAAGTCTGGTTACTGTATTAATTTTGTCAATATAAAATTGTATAATTATTTCTCGTCGTCTTTTTGATTAAAATTAATTAATCAAATTTTTCACGCGAAACACTTTCGAGCCCGTAAAAATATATGATGACAATGTCGAAATTAGTTAGAGGCCTATCGCAATAACGAGACGCGGAATGTCACTTGCAATGCAGCCTAGAGATGATATTGAGACGGTTAGATGTTAACGAGACGAAATTAACACCACGTGCCAAGTGACGAGATCGGCCACAGGTCAGTAGCACAAAAAAGAAGTCATCAATGAAGTCCAAAGTCGCGTAATTAATTAACGGCGACACTTGAGGAAGCAGAATGCATATTACTTGTCAGTATAAACAATAACAATGTAATAAAGAAATAACTATAATTAAAATCTAAGTAACTATATATAGATTGTAGCATCGTCCGTGTTTTAAATAATAATAATCATTGCGAAAAATCAGAATTATTGAACACTTCATTGGCATTCGGCACGCATCTTGGTAAAATATTAATTTATACTCGGAATAAAAAGCAACTGAACACTTTAAGGATACTAGAATTCAATCAAAATTTGCATTTTTCAACTACCTACGTAAACACATTTTTTTTAACACGAAACCAGCAGAGAAATTTAATATACGCATTTGTTAGAAGTTAAATTGTTCTCGACCGACAAGTGGTAACGATTTCATAAGGTAAAAGAAAAGAGATTAATTACCTACCTATGTCAATCATTCAGCTATCGTTTTCGTATTTATATTTCTAATTGCAAACCTGTTATTCTCTTTGATTACCAGTTCCCATTTCAGTAAATACAAATCAACATAACCAATCATACTCTAAACTGATAAAGAAGTATACAAAGGGCACAATACGTTATAAGCTTACCGTGAAAAATGTGACGTAATGTGACCAGTAAAAAATAAAAATAATAAAAAAACAAGCACAATATTGAAAATAGTTTAAAGCCACAATAAAAGTCCGCTCCGTCTCGTGGCGCAAACTCCTGGTTCCATGTTGGTATTCCGGTTTACATACACACGTGCGTCAATTTACTCCGCACAGAAATTGTCCTCATAACACACGTTCCCGCCGTTGTGGGATTCGTGAGGTTTGAATGCTTCGGTGCAGCTGGAACACTGGCCGCAATCGAGATTACAAGACCCGCGCACAATTACAGCTTCGAACACTGTTTCTCTACGAAGGTTCACGAAGACGACCGGTACAACGATCGAGACGCGACACACGGAAGATAAGTGAGAAAGAGATGGAAGACATTAAAAAAAATGAAGCAAGGTTTCTCCTTGATTGACCAATGATCGTTCACGATTATTTGAAATCGGCCAATCGCACGCGGTTCTGACGGAACTGCCTTTTTCACTGATACGTATCTACAGGCGCCTAACCATGTGCAAGATGGAGTCGCACAGTATCTGAATAGCACACCGTACTCGCCGCGTCGACAAGGAAACTTTTAATTCGAACAAGACCAGCGAATATTTCGTGTCACGTGCTATAAATAAGCCTGGCACGCATGCGTGTGGGATATTTTTTGCTTCGTGTCAAGAGGAATAGAAAGAGAGAGTGAAAGAGGGGGGGAAGAGAGAGAGAGAGAGAGTAGAGACATTTAAATAGAAAAAAGACAATACGGTCAGACCTTTAGTCCCCTGGGACTTAGAATATTCTTATTTTTCTTTGTAATACTCGTTTGACGTTTACATGTGTTTGTAGAATATATTTATCCTTGATGGTTACTCAGTATATGCTTCTCTTTACTTGGAAATTTCCGCAGACTTTGCTCAAACGAGACTCTGGAAGAGACGCAATCTCTAAGGTATTTAATGATCCTTGTTTCCGACTATTATATTCCAGTAGAAATTCATTGAATGTATCTTGGCCTTTTATCTACGTGCTACTAGATAATAGGCGGTTCGTCAAAGGAATCATTCGGATGGGCAGGATTGATAAAGGTTTCAGGAAATAAATATTAGTATATCGTTTACGTTTTAGTGCCGGCACATTACGCCAAGTAGGGAAAGTTAATGGCAACTGGAAGAGGTCAGGAGGCCTACTCTATAATACATATATACATGTACAGGGTGTGCCACAAATAATCAGGACATGAAAATTTAAAAATTCCATTTCTAATAAGATAAAAATTGCTACAATATGATTACGATACTCGTATAATTTAATTATATTATCAGCAGTAGGAAGAAACGTGGATCAGTTGAGCGACAGCTCCTGACTGGTGCAGACGTGGGGCTGTTACATTTATCAATTAAATTCTAATGAAATTAAATTGTAATAAGTAAACATTACAAAAAAATTTACAAAAACAACGATACACTAGACGATAACTTTCATATTATTTATAACCGCTACCAGGTCTCTAATTCCATTACTCTTTTCTACCATTAAATTTCATATCCAGTCCGTATTTGGCATAAGATTTGCTAGTTCTGGTACACCCTATATAAATGTTTGAGCGCAGGCCTAACGTCCGAAACGTATATAACATATGCTCTCTGTATGCCCGACACGTATCCTGACAAGAAAGAAAAATAATTACCGACTCGACAAGGCTTATCTACAATCACGGAAAATATCGGGTAAGTCGAGAGTGACGTTAAATCATTCCTATGTGACGGAATTACCATAATTAAGAAAGGCAAACAGTAGGCAAAGGCAAACAAAAGTTCCTGTCGCCATTATAAAAAAACAGCGTATTGGTATTAGAATTCTCGTAATTTCTCCCGGGTTTAGAAATAAATCAATTTAAATTATTTCCTAGAGACGTTTAAGACTTGCGTCTTGCTTCATGTTCTAACGTGCAATGTTTTTTTTATGACAGTACTGTTAAAAGTTTTTTCAAACACATGACATACATACATTACATCATACATACATATATCATTTGTTTCATCCGCTATGAGTATAGTCAAGGAATGATGTTTATTTGTAATTATTGGCAATCGTAAACGCATATGGTACAATGGTATATATGTCTTACCATTATTATTGTTATGATCAGTATTATTATTATTTAAAAGAAATATATATATTATACGTGTAGTAAACGTTATAAGGGTATAAATTCTACAGTCGTACAATAAGGGAAATGTCTAATTATGAACGCTCGTGAATATCAGCACGGATTATTCCATGGAACAGGTTTTTTTAACATTCTAGATAATCTAAATATTCACTTTTCTCGGTAGTCTTTATGAACGATTAATTTGAACGTGCGAACTGTACATGGATTATCCTAACAGCTAATGATCAGGAACGATTAAATAACCAACGTGACGTCGATCGACGTCTATGAAAAACAATTAATCAATCTCATGAAATGGGAAGGAGTGACTGTTGACACTGAATTGTCGTTGTCCCATATCCCTTGAGAAGAAAAATGACATAAGAAAAAGACAAGGACTGATTGATTTTCATTGATTTGCATAGAAGCATCTATTGTGAATTGGATTAGCGCTCGTGACGTAATGACAGTTTAATTTATCATCTACGCGAATAAACGAAGTTTTACAATTGATAAAAAGTAGAATTTGTACTCCTTATTTGTAGGAAAGAGAAGAACAAAGAAAATAATATAAGAACATTGCCATCGATTGCCTTAGATAAACTCCTTCGAGAAAGACACCCAAGACAAGTGGAATGTATGAATTTCCTTTTCTTTAAGTGAGCTTGTGCACGAAAAACTCGTAATGACGTTTCACGTTTATGTTGCAAAATTTTAAACGTAAGGCTGTCGGATGAAGGCAAGGACTTCTCTTTCTCGATGGGAGTCCGAGATGACTCTTATTACATAAATATTATGTTACACGGTAACAATGACTCGACCTATTATAGTGCAGCCCCGTTCTGCGTTCCTAATGAATGATTGATCCGACGTCAAAATCAGGACACCAATTCACTGATCGTAACGTTGAAAACTCATCCAATTAACGTATACGAAGAAACAAAAATATCGAGTTCCTTTCTCACAACACTTTATGTCTTACATAAACTCTAAGGTAAGAAGTAAGAATCAGTTTGTGTGTATGTATATATATCCTGTCAGATTAAAAATTAATAAATCCAAAAATCGAAGTATATTAGATAGCCAATCTCTAACAATCGTAGAAATACTTATCGACCACCACCTACAATCTGCAGTTCACTTTATATACGTATAATTATATTAACAATTATTGAATCAATTCTTTGATTTAACGTTAATGAACAATATAGAAAGAAAAAGACAATAATAAATCACGAGATCAAGCATATCGATTTCTGCGTTTCAGAAAATTTGATATTATTCATTTATTTCAAGATCTTCGAAATCTTCTTTCCGACTTGCAACACGTAAAGTTTGACTATTTGCAGAATATTATACGGCGATCTGTCCAGATCGACTGGGTAATAATAAATCTGTATTAGAAAGTCATATCTATGCAGAAAAAGGCTGTCGACATATACAGATAACGAAAATATAGGTACACTTGTTCATTACACTAAAATCTGATGTATTACTTAGTCGATGTGTAATCATAGCTTTCTGTGCTTTCCATCGCCTAATAAAAATCGACACATCCTGTCTAGGACAAAGGCAAACACGAAATCGGCGATCAACACGAGCACCAGGGTTCTGCGGAACTGTAGAGAATTAAAAGGAAGTAAAATTACAATTAGTACAGTTCTTTCCATTATAATGATTATCATTAGTATTTTCAGTAATAATATTAAAATGTAATTGCTCTACAAGCAATAGACTATATAAAATTGGCAATTAGAGAACTAAAAATCGACACGGATTAGAATGGATATAATTCTTATGTTAAAGATAAATTACTCACATCACTTGGGAAGTCGACTATCTCAAATTGAAAAGCTACATCTGGTAGGAGTCCACATGCTAGTGCAAAAATGGTGGCTGAAGTTCCAAGAAGACTATATAATAAAGCCTTGTTTTCCCATAAACTCTCCATGTATGGTTGACCCTGTAGAAATAAAATAATACTATGTAATAAGTTATTTCAAAGAACACATGCAGTTTCAGTATTAAACTGTTAATTACCCTGTAATTGATGGTGAAGGTAGAAACTTGCAATGCCATTGAAATTATATAGACTGTGCTGTTAATTATATTCGCTTCAAATGGTTCTTCCTCATCGGTATCCTCTGAGCTGGATTTAGAAACATCCTCTGTGGAATTAGTTGGTGCCAGAAGGGAGGAGAGCTTGTCATCTCTAATTACACGAATAAAAGTTACTAAATCATTCTATAGTATTTGCAATTAATGATTATTGTCTTGTAACAGGCTACAAAATATTTACCCTGGCGATAGCATTACAGCTTCACGTACTAGATATATAAGGCACACAAAGTGCACTGCGAATTGTAAAAGTACTGTCAGGATTGTATACAAATTGAAGATATTCGGCAGTGGCCTCTGTTTAGAAAGTGTTTTCAGTGGTTTAGATCTTGATATAAACAGAAAGCAAGCAGCTAATAGAAGACCCTGTAGTGTTGCTTGAGCATCGCTAAATCTGATTCCATCCAAATAAAGAACAGATTGACTATAGGCCAATACAAGTGCATTTAGTGCTAAGATTTTTAACATCTGCAAGGTAGTAACTAAAGTGCACCGACCCTGTTTAATAATATGGCATACTGGAAATGAAAGAAGTTTGTATATTTTATATATATATATATATATATATAAAATCTAAAAGTATACTTTCTGTTAAATTAACTTCAAAATTAATGTATGTACATACTGCATTGAATCGATGATAGTTTGCTAGTAAATGGTGCGGCTATTGATGCATCTCCTAACTTCACAATCACGGATTGATCTTGCTCTTCCAACTCTTTTAGTAATTTTTGAATTTTAGCCTGCGTGTTATTAATATGTTGCTGTCGGGCACTCATCCTTGGTCCGTTACTAATTGATGAACTTGTTGATGCATGACTAGAGGCTGCTGCAGGTTCACGTTTTTCTGCTACTGCACGTTCAGGAGGACTTGATAGAATTGCAACGCCTAAACATTCATATGAAGTTATTTAGACATTTATGGATGGTACGATTAAAATTGGAATGATTTTAATATTAACCACTTACCCACTTGGGCATGTTTCAATGCTCCCACATCATTAGTACCATCTCCACACATAAGTGTTACGTAACCCAAATTTTGTAGTGTAACTATAATGAATTCCTTTTGCTTCGGTGCACATCTTGCAAATATTACTACATGTGGTAACAAATTCAATAGAAGCTCCCTATTATTCTCTGTGAGATAAGTTAAACCCTGAGAAGAAGTAAATGTTTGTATAGGACATAATCATTTTTTTTTATAAATAATAGGCAATATATTACCTCTCCTGTTAAACAAAGACCGTATTCTTGCCATATTTCTTTGCCCTTCACTTTAGAATTTTCACCGCCAAGTTCTAGCTTCACAGTTTGATCTACACTTTCCCATATCCACTTCTTATCGTATTCTGTCAAAATCAACATGACAGACTTCTTCGTGAAATGAAGTTCCCGACCAACGTGACAAGCTGTCAATGGATTGTCGCCAGTGATCATAACAACCTGATGAACAGACAAGACTCCGTAAATTTAGATCTACATAAAATCCCCCGCTTATTAATTACCGAGTGAGAAGCATTTTGAATTTCTTTAATCACAGCTTTCGAATCAGATTTCAAAGGACAGCTTATAATGACGAAACCAGCGAACGTCAAATTCTTCTCTAACTGATCGCGAGTCTGTTCTCTTAGTTCCTGGGTAGAGAGCTGACCGGGTAGTTTACGATGTCCTAGGGCTAAAACTCTGGCTCCACGACGGGACAAAGACAGATAAGTCGAGTCATAATTATCTGGTACTGAAGCAAACTAATAAAAGAAAAGTTAAACGTAATAAGATTTCAGTCATCACAAATTTAGTACCTAAAAATTATAAATATTTACCATAGATTTCAAAGTCTCTGGAGCACCTTTAACAGTAACTACATATTGAACATCCGAGGAACCAGGAAGTGTATATCCAGCTATGACACTCATTCTCTTCAAGGTCGACGAAAAATGATAGCGCTGGAAGATCTTGAATCCTGGTGATTTGGCACGATTTGGAATGACAGCATCGCCTACGTTGCATTAGAATAACATTAGAGTCATTACAGTTTTGTATATTTCAATACGTTTAGTCGGTAATGGTTACCAGTGTTCCATACTTTTAGTGAGATTCCAATTGACTGCTTTTAAAGTAGCTTTTTCTAAGGGATCACCTACAATTCCATCATCTAATTGAACTAGCGAGTGACAGGTTGCCAAAACCTGCACACTCTCTATTGGTGCTTCGGAGAGTTGTATCACTTCCGAACTATTACTGTAGTAATAAATAAAATGATGTATACACTATACTAAATATTGTACGCATATTTTAAGACATATCTCGACTGACTTACTTAACTCCAGCTATTCCTTCCACTACCAGGTTATCGCTGGTCAATGTTCCTGTCTTGTCGAAACAGCAAATTTCGATTTTACCGGCAAAAGGAATTCTAAACGGCTCCGTGCAAAATACACCTGTTAACAAACAATGTAAAAGAAATATAATAACGGGGATAATTCAAAAATATAATATTATTTACCTAATTTTGATAATGCCACCAGAGATGTGTTTACTGCTAACGACAATTCAATAGGCAATTCAGGTGGAACTACTGATGTTAAAATCAGTGTACATTCCAGGAAGAGCTTATACTTATTTCTCGTTGGATCTTCACTTCCTAATAACAAAATTCAATTAGTTTTAAAACGCATAGCATTATTTTAACTACGTACCTTTTATCCATACATAAGCAGCAGCAGCTACAGCAAATATTAACAGAAACAAAATGAATCCAAATGTTTCTAAATTATTAGCAGTGACGCGTTTTACGCCAAACAAAATGGTTCTGAGGAGTTTGCCTTGTGAGGTTGAAAAACCAGTACGTAAAACGTAAGCGACACATCCATTGTCAGTTGCTAAAAATATGAATGAAAGTTATAACAGTTATTAATAGCAAATATCCAAATTCCTGTACCTCGGAGTCCTGATGAGTTTTTACTGGGTGGTGTATGCTGTACAACTTTGGTTCCTCCAAATAGAATACATAATTTGTCATCTCCTTCAATGTCCAATTCTTTGTCTTCTTTTCTCCAGTCTATATCTTCTAAGGGCTCCTTCATTTGTGGAACAGACTCACCTGTGAGATTCTAATTTTTAGTCCATCCACATAGTAAAATATACACAACTTCAATGTAAAATAATCACCTGTTAACATGCTCTCATCTACGATACATGGACCTCTCAATAGTAGCATATCGCAAGGTACTAGATTATCATTCTGAGACCTTGTAATAGAAACTATATCTCCAGGAACGAGCTGATCTGTAAACGTGTGTCGCCATCGTCTGTTTCTGTATACCTATACATAAATAACAATAGCATTTTAGAAGTCCCATTATATAGTTATTATAAAAGCAATATAAATAACCGTACCATTATCATATAAGGTTTATTGCCCATTTTTCTTATTTCTGCCATATTCCTCAATTGTTGTTGTACAAGGGTGCACTCAAACATGATCAGCATGATAAGAGTAAAGATACTGTAGTACCAATACTTATCTAGACACCATAGAGCAACACAGAATACTTGGAAAACAAAAAATGGTGCTATAGCACGCTCTTTGAATAATTCCCAAAATTCAGGGACCACCATATCCAACCTAAATATTAAGAAGTAAAATTAATATTGTATATATAAGAAATGATAACACACTTTAACCAAAATCTTACGTATTCTTTCCATATTTCTCTTCAGCAGCGCTGACTTCATTTTCACTGAGATATCCTTTCCATTCGCAGTAATGGTGATGTGTAAGGTGAACAGGAAACTGGAGGCCCTGAAATTGCTTCTTCTCAGAATCCCACACATATTTTGTCTTTTGAAAGATAAACCAAGGTTCTTGATTCTTCACATGATGTAAATTCACTAACTCCGAACTGCCATTGTTTGGAGTGGGCACAACTTTCACCATTTTAGCTTCATACGGGCTCTTGCACTGCAATAAAAAAAGATTTAAAAAATTATTATAAAAAATCAAAACTAATTTTAAACTTCCCACATAGTTTCCCTATGTGACCGCCACCTAGCAGAAGATCAATTTGCGTACCGCCACGTTATCCGAACGTATTGGTAGGGCCAATTAAGGTTCAAATAAATATCTGACCATTATAAAACTTTTTATAAAACATTATAAAATGATGCTTTCACTTACCGAACTACAATTAAGAAAGGTATGCACGTGGACGGACCACTGGCAACAGAGACATGTGAATATCTGTAATATGCCGATAGCCGCGATGCCAAGGAGGCCAGCATCGTAATACTCCTCGAGCCCATAAATATAAACCCAACAGTAAATCCACACGATCTGAAGAATCAGAAAGGGTAAAATGTAGCCGTTAAATAACAGTCTACGCGGATTATGCAGGCTGACAGTTTGCACAAGTTCATCCACCCGCGGCGAAGAGACCGTCGCCATGATTACGCTGCGCCGTCGCTAGAAACCCGCTTGTTAGGCTCACGGAAACATTAAGCTACGTCCACACAATATACATATTTCAATTTATAACGAATCCGTTTAAGATATGCAACACTTATTATTAAATAACAATAGAAAATGTTTCAATTGACAAATAAAATTGATTTGCCAATTTAAACTTTATACGAGTGTTCTACAATTTTTCATAACCAATTTTGGTCCTTGGGATCATTATTCAGGACCGCGAGTAACAACTTTAGTTCATTCTTGCGTAATGAAATAAGAAAACGTTTTTTCAATAATATAATTTTATTTGAAGTGCAATGAGAAATAATAATGGTAAATTTAGTTACACAAGTTGTCGCGTCAGCCTGTCACCTTACGGACAACTTTAGAAGTCTGCATCGTTTCTTGTGTGCTCGTGCCTCTGACAGGTATCAGCTGTTGCAGTAAACAAAGAGTCGCGCTGTGAAATGGATGCTGGTGCAAGTGCTGCGGATAGTCGATCGACAAGTCGCGAAAATGTATCCGAGAAAGAGAGTTTACACGTTGCCGAAGAGAATGAGAACTGGTATTACATGCCTGATTCTATACTCCTGAGTATTTTCCAGTATCTCACACCTAGTGAACTGATGACTGCTGGTAAGGTATGCAGATCCTGGAACAGAGTTTCACAAGATGAGTTTCTATGGAAAGACTTGTTTTACCAGACTTACAAAATAGACCCTAATGTTGGGATTATGCCAGGTAAAATTGAGAGATCATTAGACTTGATAAATTTGTATTTAAAGTAGTTCATTGTATATCCATTAATTAACTTTATGAAATTTAGGCAAAAATTCTTGGCTTGGAGAATTTAAAAGATTGGCATATCATACTCCTTTGTTGGAGACAGAGGTACTCAAGGAACACTCTCATCAAGTGTTGCATGTTAGCTTTTCGCATAATGGGAAAATGTTTGCAACTTGTTCCAAGGATGGATATATATTGGTGAGCATAAATCTGGATCAATGGGATAAATTTATTTGGTAGATTATATTCTTCGATATTAAGTATGTATACTGTAACTGGTTTGATTGTTGTTTCAGGTGTGGGATAGTCAATATCCCGTGACTATTAAATACCACCATGACATGAAGACATTCAGCTGGAAGTACACACAGTTCTCTCAGTTTAATTCATCCGACACATTACTTCTAGTGTCTGGTGTCCATTTTGGTACTCCTCATAGTACTTCAGGAGAAATAGCTGTGTTTAGAGTAGCGCGTAAGTATCATGATAACAAGAGCTTAGCACATTGCATGCAGCATATGGTCATTGATAATGATGCTTCCTTAAAACTAACTGATAACCTTATAACTCTAATTACTTTCTACTTTGATAAACACTAAAAACCATTTTATTACAGACAAAAACAGATGAGTAAACACAAAGCAAAGAAAGACATTGATATACAACAATATGCATTTCAATTGACAAAGACTTTCTCAGCTTATTCTATTTAATTATTCACACTCATGTATTATTTATCAATCCTGTTTAGGAAGAACAGCTAATTGCAATTTCCTGTTTCATGCCACTTGTCCTTTTTAATACTATGTGGAATATATTCCAAATTTGAAACACATGAAGGAACCTAATTACAAGTTGGGAGCCTGACGAGTACCTTGCCTTTCTACCGACAGTAAAACTAACATTAACAAGACGTAATGCAAAATATAAAACGTACGGATTTCACAGTATCTATTAATAGCATAGGGTTCATGTACTTGAATTCCTATTGTAGAGTGCCAAGAAAAATAGGAAAATGGTACGAGCTAAATACACGCCTCTGGCTCTAAGAACCCAGGGATGACTAATCACATTATAGTTCTGATAGTCATTAAACGTAAGCTCTACGTTATCTCGGGTTAACGCTCACTCCCAAGGGAGTCATCTAGATATTATATAGTATATTTCGGTGGAGCCGAGTCATGAGTGATCACGTAGTTATTTTGCCGCTACGTAAAAAGTTCGGGTGCCGTTGTAAAATTGTTTACGCACTCGATGATATAAAAGCTCAACTAAAACCGAGAAGTTTCGAGGAAAACAAATGAAGTGAAAAAAATAAGCGTCTTCAAACTGTATTTTTCGACGCAAATTCTCATGTTTACTTGTCTGACTGTAGGTTGAAGCTTCAAAGAATAGTATAGTAACTCTGAATGATAAAAATAAACGTACATCTCCTTTGATCGTTCCCATTACAGCCGGCTTCGATCTTCAATGCCGTGTCGTGAACAAGCCGTACGACATATTTGGCACGTGGTACAGTGAACGTCATCTTCTTAGCGGTGATCTACATTGGCTTGCACACCTGGTCAGCACCAGTGTCCTGTGGCTGAATAAGGCTAATCAAGAATCAGCCAGCGAGCACGTGCCTATTATGAATCAACTGTATCGGTAATAGACTATTGATTATATATTTTGCGAAATGTTGACAGTGCTTTATCATTCACAATTAAAAGAGACACCCTTCGTATTTCTTTATCAGGTTCTATAACGGCAATGCTTCCTCCATAAGGGCAGTAATGGTGGCTAATTGTCTGTCGCCTGCTCCCACCGAAGCTGAGGAACCTCAGAGTCAACGTTCAACTTCCAAAGTTAGGGAGGAACGTGGGAATCCATTGAGTCACAGGGATCTTTCATCAGCATCTTCTGCAAATGCTCAACAGGCTCAAGAAAAACCTGAAGTTTTGCATTACGCATCGTCCAGATTGCAGTACAGTACGTTAGAGGGTGGTTTTTTGAATTGGAGAAGATTGGGAGATGGCTTTGAATATGCCAGTCCGATACAATACAATGAAGAATACAGGCAGGTAGAAATGGAGAAGGAGACTGTAGACAGTGACAGTGAGAATGAGAGTCCTCAGTGGGACGAAGAGAGTGAATCTGGAGGTATAATAAGTTAAATATGAACAACAATTTTAATAGACTAGAATTCATTAATTATTTTATGAAAATTTATTCTTGAAGAGTCGTCTACTGCAGAGGATTGTGATTCTGATGACTTAGCTGACAATCCAGAGAAGTTTCTTATATTTACTACCGGTTCAAAAACTTATACACCTCACCAAGTTGGATTCAAAAGAATCAAACCAGTGAATTTCCCCAAGAGATTAGACCCTGGACCTTCTTTGAGAGAGAGACTGGCGCAACGTGAACGAGAACGCGAAAGACAGAGTTCAGGTTCACCAAGACCTGAGCCTAATTGGCTAGATTATGATTCTGTTGTTGATAAATTTGACAAAGTTGATCATCTCATTGACTTACATGGTCATATAATAGGAATGGGACTGTCACCAGATCATAGGTACAACGTTAGTCCAAATATTTATTATTGGAAATTCTTAAATCAGTATTTTAATTCACTATCGCATTTCTTTGCTAGATATCTCTATGTTAACACAAGACCATGGCCAAGAGGTTATGTTATAACAAACCCTCTACAACCACCACCTATTGCCCAAGAAATAGATATCCACGTTATTGATCTCGTGACTTTAAAACAAGTTGGAACAATGTTAAGAGCCCACAAGGCATACACTCCAAACAATGAATGTTTCTTCATATTCCTGGATGTATGCAATGAATATGTGGCAAGGTAATTATATATCTCCATTAATTCTCAATCATTATTCTCCTTTAATGATAATTCTAATAATATATGTTACCATGAACATTTGCAACAGATGAAAGAAATTGTAAAGAGTTTACAGTGAAAATAGTTTCTACATATTACACTAACATTGCAAGACCTTGATAAAAATATATCCTACAGTCAAGTTTGGTCTGCAAGTTAAACTGGAATCCTCAATGACTCAGTCCACCATAGCATAAATCACAAAGTTTCCCATTACTGGTGATTTTTAAATAACATTTCTTCAATGGTTATGATTACAGTGGTGCTGAAGATAAGCATGGTTACCTGTGGGACCGACATTACGGTGTGTGCTTGGCCAAGTTCCCACATTGTGACGTGGTTAATTCCGTGGCCTTTAACCCTCGTGACCCCGAAATGCTCGTTACCACTAGTGACGACTATACAGTTAAAGTATGGCGTAGTAGAGCCATGGTTAAAACACTTGGTTTGGACGAAAATTCGTATAGAAGAGGTATGGAAGTCAGAAAGAGACGTAGGTATCACAGAAGTAGCTGTAATGTTGACTGACTAAAGACGATCCAGTTTCCAATTTAAAAAAAAAACCTCCAGGAAAACGATTCCACGTGCATTCATTCATTCATTTCCGGTAATCTTGGTCTCGGTAAAGCATCGTATACAAAACATTTATATATTTTTTTCTCCTTCTGTCGCGTATGATATGAGTTACGTTAACATTATCGACAATTTCCCATCGGGAAGGTAAAATTGATATTCGTTAAGAGGATCTTTGTGATTTACTATTTCTGGGAATTAATTCATTCCGGCGATGATTGTACGACCTGCACCTTGATATACAGAAATTATTTATTTATTTATCTACTGAGACGGAACGTATTTTGCAAGGATACATTTGAAACAGTAATAATTTGTCTTTGGGATCATTTGTCAATTTCTAAGGTGCTACAAGAGAGTTCAGTTCCAACAAAGTTCCAGCATCCTTGTAACTAATGAGAGAAACAATCTTATTTTAGGTGATAATACGGCAGATTATAAACTTTTGATTGTGCTAGAATCTGCCTACATTTTATTTTTTCGTATTATTATTATTATTGGATACTTACAACGTAAGTTTCTTTTTATACATAAGTTTTATACACGAGTATGATAAGTTAGTACTCTTAGGTTTTCTATCCGTTCTTACATATATGTAAGATAAAATTTGGTTACGTGACATCATTCAAACACTAGTAATTGGCGGCTTTCTTTCTTCTCTCTTTGTATTTTAAAAAATCAGCCGAGCGCATTGCATACGTACCGATGTCTAAAGATTTGATAGTAATGATGAATCAATCGATTCTGCACAACAGGGGATGGAGGTTTTCTAAATTTTGAAACTGGATAAGGACACAAAATTGTTATGATTAAATACCACATGAATATTATGAATTTCGGTATCACTAATCGATTTGACTGCACTCTGGGAAAATGGTCGTGCTGTGCAATGATTGTTAAGTTTTCTAAGCCTATGATTATTTTTCATAAAGTTTTATCTCCCGTGGTATATACTTATTTACCACCCTTTAGTTACTATGATGGTATATAAGTGCTATACATATTTTTTTTAATTAGAAACGTCATCCTCCTAGAGTGATATCTATTGCTGATACATGATCCTTACAATGGAATTATATATATATGGAGTGTTAATGATGTCTGGATATCTATCAGTGTCTGAATTCTTCCTGACAAAACATTGTTAAATCTTAGTTTTCTTTAGAAAAAAATCCAGTACTTAAAATTGAAGTGTGTTAATGCACTTTATGAATTCTTATGACTATTATATCCTTGTATTTGTTACTTAAACATTGTTTTACTATTTCTCAGTAGGAATTCCTCATCGCGATGATACCTGGATGACGTGATATACTCTGTATATTTCAATCACGTTTCGCAATGTAGTTAACGTTTTGATAAGAGTCTGTAAGACAGTCTAATAGTAATTAACTGTGTGTATAATTATGAAAAATTTCTATTTATTGGTTCTTTAATTTTGCATTCGGAGATCAATCTCGAATGGCTAACGTTATTGTACTTCAAAAAAATGATAATAAAAGGGAGAAAAATGATGACTTAACGTTAATTTTAATAACTCGCGTTATTAAAATCATCTGTAATAATTTCATGTTAAGCTTGGCACAAAATATACGTTGTATAAAATAGAGAAACATACGTCATTTTATTGTAATGAATGTACAATTACAACCGTGATATGATGACTATTAAAACATTTTCCATAGTATCGTTACAGCAATGGCAACAAAATCTTTTCGCGAGTGGAATCTTTTGCAAAGAGACCCTCATTATTTTGATTAATATCTATAAAAATATTTATTCCAATAGAAGAACGACTCATAAATATTCCCACTTTCATTCGAGCCACCACAAGGCTCGAATAGTCAAAATTAACAGTAAATTTTTTTATATACTTTATATATCTTAAGATAACATGCAGCCTCCATATTTAACGGACCATTCTAATTAGTGAAGTGCTACCTTACAAGTTACAGGAATAAATTCATAACAGCCTATAACGTGGGATTCATCATTGACGATGGTCCAGTGACGTTCTAATAATTAGTATTTGAATAATTATTTCTTATGATATATTTTTTTTATCATAAAACGATTAAGTATCATACGTCGAAGTGTATAATATTCATGGATGAAAATGCAGAAAATTAATATTGAAAATAACGTCGTACAGATTATACATATAACCCATACAAGTTTACTGTATTAGCATAACTCAAAACGTACATGGATCATAAATAAATATAAATATACACACGTTTGGAGTATATCTGCTTAAAATTTTCATCGATAACTATTAGGACACGGGCGTTATTTATTGTATAGTTAGAGGAAGTTTTGCAATAGCTTACGTTAACATTTCCTTTTTGAATAACCGTACAAGAAAAAGAAAAGCGAGCGACTTATGTTGAATCCGTGACTACCGGTTCTGAAAGAGACATAAGAAACACTGGTTATGATAATAGTTTTATTATTTGATATCGCTTTTTTTAATTTTTACCTGGTTGAGGTGCAATTTCATCTTGGGACGGTTCATCACTATTAGGCGAAGGTTTCTTATGGATGTCCTTACTTCCATGACAATGTTCACACTCGTCGTCGCTATCTTCTGAACTGCTCTCTCCAAAGCTCTTTGGCTTCTCATAAATGCAACAGCCTGACACACAGAGAGATTAGCATATGTAGACGGGCCGCGAAATCAGTTCTAATGTGAGGGGACTTATTGACGCTTCTGTTTGTAAAGAGATGGCCCCTCAAAGTAGAACTGATATTATGGCCTGACTATACTTCGCATTAGATATAATAATTATAAAAGATATAAAGATGGGAGTCTCACATTTGGACTTCTTTTTATTCATATGCTCATTGTCTACCGTACCCTGAGTCCATTGAACTTTTTTACTCGATTTTGGTTTTCGTAAACGTAGTCGTACGGTAGGTACATCCTAAAAAATAAAAAACAGATAATGTATCATATCAGTGATATTGTATAATATGATTATGGCGATACGATAGTTATCATAAGGATCTTGACAATGGTTTAATTATACTATTGGTATGTACCAAATACTGATAAGGGGCATACTACAAAAGACATCTATGTATTTAGACAAAAACATTTATTAATCATACAATTGTTGATTATATTATACATTGTGAAAAGTCTATAGTAAGCAATGATTCCTCATTATTGTACGACTTTGTCAGCCTGCAAAGCTTTTAGGGTTTCTTCTGAATAATTCAGGAGGGTTTTCAGCACTTCTGTAGTGTGTTGCCCTAACATTGGTGGAGGTAATCTCACACGATTTTCGGCGTAGCTATAGGTTACTGCTGGTCCAACGACTTTAACCTTTCCAACCACTGGATGATCCATCTCTTTGATCAGCTCAATGTGCTTTATGTGAGGATCATCAAAAACCTAGAGAATTCGATTAGTCGCTTGATAAGATCGCAATCCAAATGTGCTAAGTAGTTACTTCATTCTTCTAAATATCAAAATGAAAGGTCGATAACAGATCACGACCTTCACGATATACTGATCAACTTACCTGCCCTATGGTATTAACTTGACCATAAGGGAACGGGGAACCTTCCAATATTGTCAACCATTCTTTATTAGATTTCTTGAGGAATTCCCTACGGAGTATTGTTAATAATTCTTCTCTATTCTTTACTCTCTCTGTATTGTTCTTGAACTTTTCATTAGTTTCTAATTCCGATAATCCTAGTTTCTTTAGAAGTGCTAAAAATTGCACATCGCTTCCAGTACCTACTGTTAGATATCCATCTTTTGTTTGAAAGGCTTCATAAGGAACAATGCTCTCATGTGCAGAACCCCACCTTGTCGCTTCCTTTCCAGCATTTAAATAATTTGATCCTATATTTATTAAACTCGCTACTTGAGTAGACATTAAGTTACATTCAATCCATTGTCCCTTTTGAGTTTTCAATCTTTGAAGCAATGCTGCTATGATAGCTCCATGTGCGTATAAACCTGTTGCCAAATCTGTCATTGCAACTCCAACTTTGCAAGGATCTCCATCTTTAGGCCCCGTTATATGCATTAGTCCTCCCATAGATGCTGCAATAACATCATATCCTGGACGACTTGCATATGGTCCTTCAGATCCAAAACCCGTCAATGAACAGTATATTAAGTGTGGAGCTACTTTACTGATATCCTTGTAACCAAGACCCATCTCTGCCAATTTCCCAGGAACATAGTTTTCAACAAGTACATCTGACTTCTTTGCTAACTCATAGATAATTTCTTTTCCTTTCTTCAAATCCACACAGATGCTCTTTTTATTACGATTAACACACATGAAGTACGTAGATTCTTTGGTACCTTCAAAAAATGGTGGCCCCCATTTTCTAGACTCATCCCCAATATTTGGTCGTTCAATTTTTAAGATCTCTGCACCCAGATCTCCAAGTATCATAGTACAATAAGGACCAGCTATAATCCTTGTGAGATCCAATACTCGAATCCCAGATAAGGGAGACTTGCTCTCTGGTATATCGGAGCAATATCTTTCAAACAGTTTAAGAAAATCAATTTGATATCGTTTCTTTGACACACTTGGTCTTCTGTATGTAATATATCTTTTATACATCTTCCCAAATTCTATACAAACCAGTCCTATAATCTTGATGTAATAAACCAGTTACATGAAACAAGTAGCTATTCCATATGATAACACTACTTTAAAAGCTATATGATAACATTACTTTAAAATTCACATAATAATTTATAGATAATGATAGATTATAATAGAGGTAAAATGCTATCTGACATTTTAACAGCCTGTAAATGTGACGTAGTATGCTTATTAACATAGGATTCAAATACCTGAGTTCCATCGATGACGTCCCCTTCCAGGACAGTCTCCGTTTGAGTTTGGGAAGAGGATTGAGCAGCCATCACGGATGTCTCCATGAGTTTTTCACAAAGATCCACTAAAGTTCACAAACTATCAACACTTGTAGAAGAACCAGTGCACAGTTTTAATAAAATACTAGGTAAATTGAAATGGCATCGTCCCCGAAGAAAAGGATTCAGATAACTCTGGATAACTCAAAAATTATGTATATGACCCGGCAACCCAGTGACGATCTATAGATCTCCGTTACCGTAGAATGATGACTAAGCTACCGTAGTGCAGCTGTAGCGCTCGTAGGAAACGTGTAAATATTAGCAATTTTCTGCACAATTTCGCGAATAAATTTAACAAAGAGATCGATTTTGATGTTGGGGCTTCCTTAAGATAATTTAATAAAGGGCAATTTAATTACAATCATATGGCGGACATGGAGGTGAGTTAAATAATTATAGGAGAATAACGATTCGTTCACTCCCAAAAATCACCTGTATAGCAGTGTAATTAGTGATATTATTAACGTAAATAACCTAAAATCGTAATAATTAACTCAGTGTTTTGTTTATGTGTTGTTATAGTCAGATGCAAAAATTCCACTACCCTTGGAGCCAGTACGGTCCAACCAACTAGAAGATAGAAGACTATGGGTTGGAAATCTTGATTTAAGAATTAATGAGTAAGTATTTACATAAGCTGTTAATACGTTATTAAAAAATAGCATTCTCATAATTTAAAGGTGTGTAATATAATTGATAAAGGATATTAAATATCAATGGTACTCATTAAAAGTTGGCTATTGTACTGAAATAATATTATTTGGATGCGAGTGAGTTTCTATGAATATCTTTGATATATTTATAAAACAGTCTTAACTCATCCTGGAAAAATTAACTGTTTGTCTGTCAACCGGTACCAACTCCTGAAACTTGTTCAAAAACATGGAACAATCGAGAAGTTCGATCTATTATTCCATCGGTCAGGCCCGCAGGCCGGTCAGCCCAGAGGCTATGCATTCGTTACCTACAAAAATTCAGAGGATGCTGAGAAAGCTAAGGACACTCTACACAACCTAAAAGTTGGAGCGAAGAATATTGTAGTCAGATGGGCTCATAGTGTGAATGAGGTAGTTTATAAAGATCTAATGATTGATAAATGATAAATGCAAGTAACTTGTATACTCTGCAATTTCAGAGTGAAATGGATAAACCAAAACCAAAAATAGATATCCCTGCCTTAGCAGGTGCAAAAAAGGAAGACAAAAAGATTAGGTATGTATCAAAACTTTCAGACACTTTTTGTGTGATCATTTTAGCAAAACTGTTCTATTTCCAATAGTCGAGAAACGGCGATACAAGCCATCGAAGCCAAATTGAAACTTATGAATGAATCGGAAGAGGAATTTGAACTGAATAAACCATTAGATGGAACACCAATAATACAACAGTACCAGAGACCAGAAATCCAGAAACCGTCCACCTCTACACGATACCATCATAACCGTGGAGGTCGTTTTCAAAACAATAAGCCATATACTCGGTCCAAACCGCGAAGATAACTTATTAAGTTATACAATATTTATACTTGCCATTGCAACAGTTTCAAAGAGCCATGACAGATCACAAGGTATCATTACCCTCGTTAATTATTCTTGTCCTGCTACTCACTATTTTATTTGTAACTACCGTTTTTATTTATCGAGGTAACCATATTGTAAATCCATGTATCATCGTTACACGATTTTATTTATTTTCGCTAATATTAGAGACTCACTCGTGTGCACGATTACTCTTTAATTTCTCAGTGAAAGAAATTCAATGATTCCTATTAAAGTGCAGAGAAATAGAGTACACCGAAGATACAAGTATTTTAGTTAACTATTAATGCTATGTATTCTATGTACATTGACGTACGTGTATTTTGATACAATGTTGTATTAAAATCTTTTTTATTATAAATGTGTCTATACTGAATTCCAATAGAGTATTGGGAAAATCCTTTACAAATGTATATTCACTTCTGAAAATATATTTTTACTATATTTATTTACAAATTACATATATGCAATATTACAATAAAATGTCTTAATCCTTAGCAAATTTATATTTCCCACGCATATGATTTGGCAATGGAACTGTTCCAGGACAAGGGAGTTGTCCTGGAATTATACATATGCAATTCCGTTCACAATCCACTCCAAAATTTGCAGGATTATCTTTTTTTTCAAAATCAATTTTTTCTTTAGCCAAAAGTTCCTTTGATTTACCAACAACATGGATAAGATGTTCCAAAATTTCTTCTTTTGTTTTACTGTCAATATCTATCAACATTTCTTTGCCATTATCTGTAACAAGAAGTAAAATACCATCAGACCATACATTTCATTAAGAAATAACAGTTTACACTAAAATTCTAAACCTTACCATAAAAGCATCTTACAAATGGAGTTGGTGTTAAATTCTTAAAAGTGATAACTTGTACGTTTGGATTATTATACTGTACTTGTGGTAGGTACCAGTATACGAAACTCCTAAAATAAAACGAAATATTTGATATTTTAACTCTGCATGTATAAAAACCGTAACCTTACTTGGCACCCTGATGATGGTCTCCAAAAATGTTATAGTTGATTGAAAATATCTGTATTGAATCCTTTAAAAATAATCTTCCAGATTTTAAATATTCCAAGGTTCTTCTCGCAGGATTCCTACCAATCATGAAAGGCATTTTCTTTCTGGTTTTCGTCAAAAACTTGTACTGAGTAAAAGAAACACAGAAACAATGTTTCTTACGCTTTTAACGAAATATCTAGTCGCTATAGTCAGTATTCTGTTCTCACAGACTATACGAAACCATGATAGAATGAGACAAGGAATGTTCTGACGCATCTACGTCGCAGAGGACCAATAAGTTGCTGCCGGAAGATTCCGCCATTGTTGCCGCGTAATTTGAAACAAGGCGCAGAGTTCTAACTGTTGAAAACTGTCGTAATAAATATTATTTCTAATTAAAGTTAATTTTACACACTTCACATACGATGAACACATATCACGATATAAACATAGAACACTGAAAAATGGCGGAATCTTGTGGCTGCTCTGAAGTGGTCGAAAATGTGTCCATGGCCTGAACATACCTTATCTCATTCTACCATGCACGAAACGTTCCAATGGGGAACCTGACTGGAAAGCTTGGCGTAGGTGTCGTACTAGTCGCTAATTATAGTGGCGGGAATTTTCAATTGTTTATACTATGTAAGTATTCAGCCATGCATTTTATTTAATATAAATAATAGAAATGTCGATTGGATACAAATCTTGGACAGTATTCTAATTAAAAAATGAAGTTCGAAAGCGTGGTGCTTCGTTGAACGGAAAAAACAAGATCTTGACAGGTAAATATACGATGTTTCGACGGTTTATCGAAAGTAAGTTTTATAAGCCTTGAACTATACTAAATTCATTGTTTTCACGAATTAAACTTTTATTTATAATTAACTTTAAAATCGTATGTGAATTCATAAATATTTTGCTTTGGTTGTTAACATGAGGCTATGATTATTTCAATCACAAAGCTTCAATTACATCAGTTAAATGCTTCTTTGACTGACGACAAACTCTACGAGTACTTATAAGTACTCTTAGTAAGTACTCTATAGCTGACGACTCCGAAAGACAAAGATTAGAATTTCAGTTTTATATAAAACGTCGAAAATTTTATTATTTTTATGAATAACCACATTTTTGAAGTCCATCCTGATGTTCTCTATTTTCTACAATTTATAAACGCTAGATATTTATATTATTTATTAAATAAAATATGTTTCGACGATAGTGCTGTTTGAATATCCCGCTAGTGTGAGAACCAGCGACTAGTACGACACCTATAATGAGCTTTACAGGTCAGGTTCCCCATTGGTAAATTACTCGGTCTATTCTACTATTTTGAATTTTTTTTTATTAACACCGATTAAAAAGGCATATATATATATGTCTGCTCCATTTTTTTTGCCTTTCCCTTTCATATTTTTTGTTTAGTTAATCCAGTCGCGTGGCTGTAGCTCAATCATTCGGGAATTAGGTGTGTACCGAAAACTATAAATATTTGTTCATTTTCATAAGACTTTCCAGAGGTGAGTATCACGATTACAGCTGTATTTTTTTACTGATGCAAGTATTTGTCTCCACGTGTTTTGAGTTCGTAAAAGTCTTATTTTTATTTATACTGTGCACGTCAGCTGTACTTTAACCAACCCATATGGTATTAGTGTCTTTTAACTCTGCTCATTTTCATTAGACTACTACTGGAAGAATACCGGTGCAGCCAGAACAGTCAAAATGAATTCGTCTATGACGGCAAACGAAATTCGTCAAGCTTATATAGACTTCTTCAAAAGCAAGGGCCACGAATATGTTCATTCAAGCTCTACAATCCCTCACGACGATCCTACACTTTTGTTTGCTAATGCTGGAATGAATCAGGTAATGAATTTTCATTCAACATATGTGATGCAATAATGACAGTAATTTGTTACATTAATATATTCTATTTTTTTAGTTCAAACCAATCTTCCTGGGAACAGTAGATCCTAATAGTGATATGTCTAAATGGGTACGTGTAGTTAACACACAGAAGTGCATTAGAGCTGGTGGCAAACATAATGATTTGGATGATGTTGGAAAGGATGTGTACCATCACACCTTTTTTGAAATGATGGGGAATTGGTCCTTTGGAGATTACTTCAAGGTAACATTATTATTCCCTTTTTTAAATATAGGGCTACAAATTTTGCTTTGTTGTTATATTTATTACAGAAAGAAATATGTACTTGGGCCTGGGAGTTGTTAACAAGTGTTCTTAAATTACCTGCTAATCAATTGTATGTAACTTACTTCGGAGGAGACAAAAAAGCTGGCTTAGAGCCAGATAATGAATGCAAAGATATTTGGCTCTCTCTAGGGTAAACCAATTGTCTGATTTCCAATACTTTTTATCTGTTTACAATAGGTTATTACTTTTCTATAATTTACAGATTACTGCCATCTCACGTTCTACCAGGAAGTATGAAAGATAATTTTTGGGAGATGGGTGAAACTGGACCATGTGGTCCATGCAGCGAATTACACTTTGATCGTATTGGGGGCAGAGAAGCTGCACATCTAGTCAATATGGATGATCCTGATGTTCTTGAGATTTGGAATCTTGTGTTTATACAGTTCAATAGGGAAACAGATGGTGGACTACGTCCTTTGCCCAAAAAACATATTGATTGTGGCCTGGGTTTAGAACGCCTAATTTCCGTCATACAAAACAAACGTGCGAATTACGATACGGATTTATTCATCCCACTCTTTGAAGCAATTCAAAAGGGCACAGGTGCACCTGCGTATCAGGGTAGAGTAGGTGCCGACGATAAGGATGGCATCGATATGGCCTATAGAGTTTTGGCCGATCATGCCAGAACCATCACTATTGCTCTAGCCGATGGTGGAGTTCCAGATAATACAGGAAGAGGGTATGTACCATAACATAAAATATACAAACCGAAGAACCTCATAACAACTATTATTAAATTCGATTCATCATCGCCCAGATATGTTCTGAGAAGAATCTTGAGACGAGCCGTACGCTACGCTACAGAGAAACTCAACGCAAAACCAGGATTCTTTAGTTCATTAGTTAACGTCGTCGTCGAGCTACTAGGTAATGTTCCACTAAACACATAACTAACATCATTCATATAACATGTACTTATTCTTCCACAGGTGACGTATTTCCTGAAGTGAGGAAAGACCCACAGTCCATAATCGACATTATCAATGAGGAAGAAGATCAATTTCTCAAAACTCTATCTCGTGGTCGCAATCTTTTGAATCGAACTATAGCCAAATTAGAAAAAACTAAAATTGTACCGGGAGACGTTGCCTGGCGTCTTTACGACACCTATGGCTTCCCGGTAGATTTGACACAACTTATGACAGAAGAGAAAGGTCTCACCGTAGATATGACTGCCTACGAAGAAGCTAAGAAACAAGCACAAATCCTATCCCAGGGCAAAGCTGGTGGTGTGGATGATCAAATTAATTTAGATGTCCATGCAATTACGGAATTGCAAAGCAAAGGAATCAAACCAACCAACGATCTGCCCAAATACAATTACACTGTAAAATCTAATGATAAAAATGCAGAATATCAATTCACTCCATGCACCAGCACTGTAATTGCATTACGTCGCGCCAAGCAATTCGTAGACGAGGTGTCCTCAGGAGAGGAAGTCGGAGTTCTATTAGATCAGACATGCTTCTACGCGGAACAAGGCGGACAGATTTACGATGAAGGATTCTTGGTCAAAGTTGGTGATGAGGTAAATTTTTGACTATTTTAATTAATTAAAATCAATATAATTGGTATAAACTTCAATCTAACATAAACACTTTACAGGATACAGAAATTCGTGTGAAGAACGTGCAAGTCAGAGGTGGATATGTTCTTCATATAGGAACAGTAGGTCAAGGAAAATTGAAGAACGGAGATAAAGTTCATGCAAATATTGATACGGCACGCAGAAGACTTATAATGAGTAATCATACGGGTACTCATGCCCTGAATTTTGCTCTTCGCAAAGTACTTGGTGGTGAGGCTGATCAGAAGGGTTCATTGGTGGCTCCTGATAGACTGCGGTTTGATTTCACGAATAAAGGTAAGTTTCAAATGTCCTATTTCTAGATACAATAGAAGATCATTAGTATGTATGATCTTTACTCCTTTTTCAAAGGTGCCATGACTCCCCTTCAAGTCAAGCAATCTGAAGAATTTACGAATGACTTAATAAAGCGTAACGAAATGATTTATGCCAAGGAAAGTAATTTGAGTGTAGCCAAAACTATCCAAGGTTTACGTGCCATGTTTGAAGAAACATATCCAGACCCTGTAAGAGTAGTTAGTATTGGTGTTCCTGTGGAAGAGTTGGAAAAGGATCCCTTTAGCCCTGCAGGAACAAAAACTAGTATTGAATTCTGTGGCGGAACGTAAGCATATAATTAACTTTGAATCATTAGTGTAATGACTTATTGTATTATCTAATTACAGCCATCTTCACTACACTGGACACATTGGTGATTTTGTAATAGCCAGTGAAGAAGCCATTGCTAAAGGTATCAGGCGAATAGTTGCTCTTACAGGACCAGAGGCGACAAAGGCTCTTAAGAAAACACAATTATTACAAAATCAGCTCAATCAAATTCGTAATTTGATTGACAATGATAAGAGTGGTGCCAACTCGAAGGATTATGTTAAAAAAATTGTAGAACTCACTGAAGATGTGTCGCACGCTGTCATTCCTTACTGGAAAAAGGTGTGTGCCGTTTTTATTAAATTTATTTTATGCTTATATGATCATCAAGACTATTTTATATTTCTGTGTATCCAGGATGAAATACGTAATTCCCTGAAAGCCCTTAAAAAAGCTTTGGACGATAAGGAACGTGCTGCTAAGGTTGCTGTGGCCAATTTAGTAGTCGAAAAAGTACAGAAAATTATTCAGGCTAATGTTGGAATTCCCATTTTGGTGGAAGTACTGGAAGCCTATAGTAATACCAAAGCATTGGACTCCGCTTTGAAACAAGTTAAGACTATATCGCCTGAAACCAGTGCCTTGTTCTTAAGTGTGGATCAGGATGCTAACAAGATTTTTGCTTTAAGTGCGGTACCAAAGGTAAGAATTTTTTCCATCAGTATTAGACTTGCATAGATAATAGTAAATTATGAAAAATCATTTAATGTGAAAATTCTAATTTTCCAGACTGCTGTAGCTAAAGGATTGAAAGCTAATGAATGGATCCAAGCAATCGCTCCACTAATGAAAGGAAAAGGCGGTGGAAAACCTGAATCTGCTCAGGCATCCGGTTCAAACGTATCATGTTTGGACCAGGCTCTGGAGGTCGCTAAGACTTTTGCCAATTCGAAATTAGGAATATCACCAGAAGGTATAGAGTTACTCATTATGAAATGAACCCTTTGAAGTTTATATATGTATAATTGTATAAATACTGTGTAAAATAGAGTTTATACTTATACTACTTATAATGTATATTTTTTATGTTTCAGCTACATGTCTAAAACCTGCTGTATGCAGTAAACCCAAGACAAATAAGGACCAGTCATGTTCGAAACCATCCTCTGATTTGATTTTGTATACCAAAGTAGGAAATGTGAGAGGTTACCGTGCTGAGATAACAGCTAAATTCAGTGGAAAAATTGTTACTGTAAAAAATGATAACAACAAGAAAGAATATTTACCAATTTTGGAGATTAAGAATGTTGAATTAAGGGATAGCAATGCAATTGCTTTCTACTTGGCAAATGATAAATTGAAGGGCAAAGATGTCTTTACTCAAAGTCAAATAATTCAATGGATAAGTTATGCGGATAATCACATTTTGCCATCTGTATTTGGTTGGGTATTACCTAGTCTTGAACTAGGCACATCTAAAAATACTGGATCCGTCAAGGTAGCTAAGGAAGATTTACTTCAGTCTTTGAAGCATTTAAATAACATATTACTTACAAAAACTTTTTTTGTTGGGGAAAGAATTACATTAGCTGATATTTCCATGTTTACTGCTCTTTTGCCATTATACGAGCACATTTTTGATCCAGAGACCAGAAAGAAATTCGAAAATGTCAATAGATGGTTTTATACAATTTTAAATCAGCCAGAGGTAAAAGCTATAGTGAAAGATTTCAAAGTATGTGAAAAAAAAACAAAGAAGGCTGCATAAACTTAAAGAGGATCTGGAATTACATGAATTTATTACTTAACTGTATAACTATTGAATTTTATAAAGAAACTTGGTGCTCATCGCCGGAAGTCTCTTTCAGTTTATTATCATATATTATTCGAATTTCTTTTAATAAGGTCGACAAGTTGCTTCCATTTTTCGCAGATATTGGAATAATGGGAATATTTGTCTTTTCCTTCAGCAACGTCAAGTTCTCCTACAACAAGGATAATAAAGTCTGTCTTGTTTAGGGTTTCTTTAAATTGTTAGACAGTTATTGTAACCTGAAATTCTGTCCTTACCTCAGCTTCCGGCAGATCCATTTTATTCGCAATAACAATCATAGGTCTCTCATTCATTTTTGGATTAAATTGATTAATCTCATATTTCAAAATTTCTAAATCGTTCCACGGTTTATCCTGACTTGCGTCTAGAATAAATAGCAAAGCTGCGCACCGTTCAGCATGCTTTAAAAACATTATGCCAAGACCTTTATTCTTATGGGAGTCTTCTATAAGTCCTGGTAAATCAGCAACTGCTACTTGTTCATAATCATCATACTGCACCATACCGATATGAGGTTTCAAAGTTGTGAAGGGATAAGGAGCAACCTTAGGTCTAGCTCTAGATATTGCCCTAAGCAAAGTACTCTTTCCAGCATTTGGTAGACCGATCTAATGAGAAGCACATAAATAATATATTCTTAGATGAAAACATTAACATGATACCAAAGGCTCCTTACCAGTCCTACATGAGCCATGCTTCGCAGTTCTAATAGATATTGACAGTCTTCACCATGGGCACCATATTCAGAAATCTGAGGTGCCTGTTGAGTTTCCGATGCGAAGAATGCATTTCCGTGGCCACCTGCACCACCACGAGCAGCAATAAACATCATTCCTGGTGTATCTAAGTCTGCTAATACGGTACCATCAACAGAACGTACTATGGTACCAAGTGGTACTTTAATAATGTTATGATTTGCATTCTTTCCACAGCAATCTTTGGAATAGCCCTTTTCTCCAGGAGGAGCTTCATTAACAGTTTTCACGTTCACGAAATCTCTTACGTCTAAAGATACTTCAAAAATCACATGACCACCGTGGCCACCATCCCCACCATCTGGACCAGCACGATCATTCACCCATAGCCGAAGAAAAGAAATGGCACCATCACCTCCTTTTCCTCCAACAGTTCTCACCTGAATCAAATTAAAATGATGGCTGGTTTTTTTTGGCGATTTTATAAAACTGAACTTGTTATCACTTGCCTGTTTCACATCCCTAAAGAACTGTGCAGTATTCTTATCAGACTTTGGTTTAATATTTCTTAGAGGTGTAGGAGTTTCTCGCTGTTTATGAAAACATTGTGCATTGTGAAACGTTCTGTCATTGTTATTACGTGCAGGCCGAGATACAGGTACTGGTATCATAGTGTTGTGGAAAAGCATTTCTTCTTTTCGAATAACATTCCTTATTACTGACCACGTACCCAATTGTCTTAAATAGTACATCTGGAATTCAATAACATAACACTGCCTATGAACTTTATTTATTTATAAAACTCTCTGGTGAATTCACAATATTGAGTTAGCTATCGAGTAACACAAACATGTAAATTATCCTCTAAAAGTTTTAAAATTATATTATGATGTATGTCTATTACTCTTTTTCTGTACAATGGTAAAATCTCCGACTTATAGCTTATCGTGTACGTTCTCGTTACTCTTTTATCAGAAAATTCATAAGATCTTAAGAATTCAACATCATTTATTATGCAACCTGCTCCATTATATAACGTCATATAAAACTTATTAGAATTAAAATCTGATCCAATAGAAAAAGTTATGTCGAATTTAAAAGTAATGGGGTATATGGAAGAGCGATTGTTATCTCTCTTTTTCTCTTGCATATTATTCTTTTTATTAGCTATAGCAAGAATATCATTCCAATTACAATCTTTTTCAATATCTACTATATCTATTTTCATTATGGGTGCAATGTTTCTACTGTTTGGAGCATCAGTCTTTACAAAATAATGAGTCAATGAACTTTGTGTATTAAATTTTTTATCTAAGCTCCGATATCCAGTACTTATATAGTTTTTAAATAACATTGTATCAAATGGCTCTACACTGGTAAGTATAAAATTGCCATGTGCTGACATTTCAGTAATTTGCCAAGAATCATCCCAACGTCGTTGTGGAGAATCTGCCGGAGTACCACCTTGGCCATTACATAGAGTAACTAAAACCTGCCCATTTTGATTCAAGAATCTCTCACTAGAAATGAAGAATCGTTTGAGTAATTCACGATTTTTATCAATCCGCATTTTACCTCCAACATGAGGAAAGTTAAATATGATCTTATCAAAATATTCATTTTTCAATATGGGGTGTTCGTTTAGTTTGGTTGCATCAACACCTAACAATACTCGAATACCTAAAAGAAAAAACATAGAATTCCTTGTAAGGAAGACCAGGCCGTTACAAAATAATTTAATAATACTGACCAACATTCTTCATAAGGTACTCTATGTTTTTCTTTCCAATTTCTGATGTTACAATAGGCTCATAACATGTAGCTGTAAGAGTCACGTTCAAATTATATTCAACCAACATCACAGCAAAGGAAAAATTGCCTTCACCCACAAGAAGTAGATTATCATGATTTTTAAAAACTGATAATCTCATTTTTGACTATTGATGTATTTGTTAACCGGCTGTCAGTAGCCTAAAGCAAAGCACAAAAAAGAAAATAAAAAATTTATGCTTTAAATTATGTTTTCCATCTGTATAGATTTATGAAACTATAATAAAATATGTGCATATCCCAGTACTGTTACATTTTATATGAGATTATTTGATCTGTAAATGATTATAAAAGCATTAGAACTATCCCATGGCAATAAAAAAGTTATACAATATTACGAAGAGAATGAAAAAATTCCTATACTTATTTGAAAGTGAAAATATCACAATTGCTATTACAATGCATTATATAAGCTATCTTGCCTGTTTACCCTTAGAAGTTATACAAATTCTTTTGTCTCGACAATAAAGAGCAAATCCTATGATAAGTGTACCACTCATATAGATTTCTTTTATTAACAGTTTTGATACAGCGCGCATCATGTAGATTAGCACTTAGTTGTGTACCTATGAATAGATGTACAGTCCTATCGAATTTTCTTTGAATAAACAAATAAATAGAAATAAACCAAAGTAAGATTACCTAATAACTCAAATACATTATATACTTTTAAATCACACAATTGAGATGATGAAGAGATTCATTAACAACAAAGTTATAGGTTATGTTATGTTTTGTCATGTTATATTCATATAACAATAACTTGTGAATTGTAAGAAATAATGAATTCAGAAAGTACATACCTCTAGATGAGGAAATAAAGATAACGATGCACAGAAAAATATAGAACAATCGCAAAATCGGTTCAAGGAATGTCCATCGAATACATTTTCTTTACATTATTTTCTACACTTCTTCGTGTTTCTAGACCAAATTGGACTTAACCATGCTATTGTCACGGATTGTGTATAAGTAAGGTATATCCATGATACAAACAGATGAGGTATAGCCACTAGCCATCGTATTTTGGTTCAGATTGCGCAGGGTCCAATGACGTCACATTTTAGCGTCATCATTTTAACTTTTAAGGGACTCTTTCACGTTTTGGTGCGTAAGAGGATGGCCCCTGAAAGTACAATTGATATCGCGGCATGACTACATCACGTGCGAAAATCAGCCAATCAGAGTAGACAAGGTCCGGTAGCGTCACTGTCCAAATGCCCAGAACAGCCAATCGCTATACCTCGTCTATTTGTATCATGGGTATATCACGAATCACAAAAATAGGACTGAATGCCATTCGAATGCATAGCATTATCGATTCAGCATAAGAAAACTACCGTTTTGCTGTCCAAGAATCAATGGAGAATTCTCACACAATAACCTAGACTGAATGTAATTACCTGAAAAGAAGTGTATTCCATTGTCTGAGGACACAAAGAAAGACATTCGTGAAAGCACTGTTCATTTAATTAATTCTACAGGGGAAACGACTCATTATCAATAAGAAAGACACTGAAAATTTACCCTCCACGTTTGTACATGAACATACCAATGTTTCGTCTAGAGACTTTCGTAAATCCTTCTATCTATTAATTCGAATCACTAGAAACACTGGGGTAAAATTTCGGAGATAAATTTTCAAAGACCGCGATGTCACACGATAAGTAAATAGCATTAGACACGGGCCGGTAAATGACCCCAACATGAAAATCGAAATTTCCTACTAGAAGGTATTTCACAGACCAATATCATGAGCTTTTACATAAATTAAAATACAGCAGTCTCACATTAAAAGTCAGACAAGACCAAGAATGAAGGTGTAGCGGACATAGTTTTTATTACCGTTATCATTTTCTAGCAATCAGTTTACGACTGTCCGAGAAGTTGCTACGTCATGAGATTGATCATCATGATAAAACGATGACGTAAACGAACAAAGGTCATGCCTGCTCCCTGGTCAATTATCTATTTTTAGGAAAACAGAAATAGCCTCTGGTACCAATATTCCTAATTGAAGTTGCACCCAGTATAGTAGGGCACAAATTATTTTTGCCAAGTCTGTTGGAATCTTTCGATATGGTTCAATTCGCCGATAGCATGTGACAAGCATTAGAGGCTTCATCGATTAGAATTACACCATGGGTTACGTACTTATAGAGCTTCCACTTGTCACAATTCAATACATTTGAAGCATACGTATACAATACACCCATAATGGTTCTTAGAACCATACAAGTTTGAGGTATTATCGCGATGCTACATCAAAATATAATCTGGATCGAAACACCAGACATAACAAACGGACACATTGACCTGCGTACGATGCATTATACTAGACAGACTGAAACGCTTTATTAAGAGTTTCACTGTACTAATTGCTTTTAACATCTATCCAATAAAAGATGCAACACAGCAATTCCATGATACGAGACAATAATGAAAATAAACAGGAGCTTTCCCAGACGTCCTGGAGGACGCATATAAGAGGAAAAAGAAAACACATAGTTATTTGTAAGTAATCCAAAGGGAATAAACAATTCAATTTATTTTTGCACGATCAATGAATTGATTTTATACAGAAACCAGAGGGAGTCTACCTGGGAGCTATATGCCCAATGACAACTCTTGCACTTCGTCAATGGATTTTAAATTTAAATTAATTTTCCTAGTAGCCAGTCCGTATAAGACCTTATGCCAAGTGGTTATTCCTGTTTCGTCTAGGACACTCAGGTCCATTCCAGATAGAATTGAACTACAGCCAGCGTTTCTCGCGTGTAGGACATATATGTTGTATGACATATATGTATAATGTATATAGAGAGAGAAACAGTATAGCTGCTGTGTGACGCAGGACATTGGCTACGGAAAGACGCGTAACAACGTACATATATCACCAGATGAATGAATGAAACTATTTTAGAGCAGGATTTGGGGGGCTGTATAAATACTCACAGGCAAATATATTCACGGAGTGCTTTTGCTTCCAACCTCTTGAGACCATTCTGAATTTTCGCTCTACACATATATGTATATAATCGGTCCACGAGTCTGATATTTTTTTTTTTGACAGATCGAAAACAATGAAGATTCTAGCAAGGTACACGTGTGTCTGAATGAAATGTTTATTACAAAGTATACATATGCACGGTTCTGCATTAAATATATATTTGATCTATTTTGAGGATTCAAGAATTTGAACGAAGCATTTTGAATCAAACTATACTTCTATTTTGAATTTTAAATGCTTTATATTAACAATTATGATTAATCTATTACTTTATTCGATAAGCCAACAAGGAAATTCGCTTATCTGCATACAGAATCGCAGCGGTTGCTGCGTACAAGATATAAAACAGAAATCAGTTGTTTTTGTACTGTGAAAATACTTAAATTACTTGTGAATGATATCATGCTATAAATAATTCCGTGTCAGTTATCCGAGATTATTAACAAACTACGTATAACGACAGTATCTCTGAAAAACGACCAGCCCCTTTGTAATTCTAATCTTACTGTAATTCGAGGAGTTTTTCAAACGATTTATCGTGTTTACAAGGAAACGTCTCTCTTTATAATTGTAATTACAGCATAGACAAATATCCATCCACACTAAGGCAGATATAAGATTTGTTGTATTAAAAAAGGTAATTTATCGTGTCTCCATTCTACGTAGGCTACATGTTGTTGAACTATAAATATAAATTTTTAGCATGTATTAAGGTGTCTCGCAGAAATGCGAATCTTAATCAGGTCCTATAAGAGTTCTGAAAATATTACGTTAGATTGGTAATGTGCGATATGTCGAATAAGATTTATCAGTTAATATATATATATATATATATATACTTTCTAGTACAAACTTATTAACAAAAATTGATACTATCATAAAAATCATATGAATGGGCTACTATCCATTGACGCGCTTAATAAAGTTATCAATATATTTATATGTATATTTTGACAGACAATCTCTACCTATTTCTACACTAAAGCATTCTAAGTATAGGTCAAACTATAAACCTACACAGGGTCTTTGCATATCGACCTTTTGCCACTTTCACCTTCGAAACAGTCAAGTCCTTCTGAAATTAACTTAGTACACGGTGTTATCTCACCATTATTTATCACACCTATGATAATTATCATTAAGGCAGAAATTCATAATTTCCGGTGAAAATCATTTATAATATTTTTCATATAGCAAGTATACATACCTATATATACTGTGTGTACCCAAAAAACACAAAGTGATAGTTAGCGAAAGATAGATAGTGAAAGATAGATAGTGTACAATAGTGTGTAGTGATAGTTAGCGAAAGATAGATACTGAAGAATGTGATACCACCATAGAAATCGAATTGACGGATTAACTTAAGTCCATGCAATACTTATGAACGAACCTACATAAATAAAAAAGCAAACCGCCCAGACTTCGCACGTAAGCAATTTTGAATTTACCGCCAAAAGTTTATTTCATCATAGATTAAAATTTCATACACTGAAAACTTCCTCGAGAAACGCTATATAAAATAGTGAGAGCCGCGTCCAGCACTTCTGTAAATCAAGCCCGAACGTACAGATAGACAGACGGCTACCGAGGATTTTATTTTATACTACGTAGTATGTACATGCATATATATGTATAGGTATAAGGAAGACTTGTTTTGAAGAATTGTCGAAAACGCAATTTTCGATCCAGCACAACAACTTTTGTTATTCAACTTATGTGATAAAATACTAACTGTAAACATTATCAGATAAATGTATTCGATAAGATTTAAACGGATTAAAAGGTAAAACATCAGTGTATTTCCTGAAGGCGCTTCCAGGAAATTCTTCAAAGCTATGTATATATAATATATATAGCTGTAGGTATCGACAGATTATATAAAGCCGAATCGAACAATGTATCTACGAGTTCGTTGCATTCTAGTATATGAACGTACAAATACCTTTGTAATCAATTGGCCAATTAATACATCCTGCCACAAAAAAACATTCTGTACAGCCATGGATACAAACAGACGAGGTATAGCAACTGCGATCGTATTGTGTTCAAGATCGCGCGGGGACCAATGAGATCACGTTCAAAGCGACATGAGTTTGAGTTTGAAGGGACTTATTAACGTTTCGGTTCCTAAGGATATGGCCTCTTAAAGTGGAACTGTAGGTGCGGCGTGACGACACAACATACGTAAAGTCAGCCAATCAGAACAGAGAGCGTTCAGTGACGTCACTGTCCAAATTGTGCAAAATCGACAGTGGCTTTATCTCGTCTGTTTGCATCGTGTGTACAGTCACGTTATGGCGGACACACAATACGTAACTATATGCGATGCTTTCAAATATTTTTCCCAGCCCAGGTGTACAAATTTTGATATATAAGATAGATCATTATGAGGTCCTGCTTTGGAGGCGTACCTCACGTACAAATGAGACTATCCCACACTTGATATACATATATAGGTCGTCCAGTATCCGCATTCTTAGTATCCATAGATCTTAGATTGATCTTCCCTGCATCAAGTACAATATCATTGCAATGCGAGATCTATTTTTGATCTGCGGTTGAGCAGTCGCAAAATTTATACCTGTACATATCAAATGCCGTACATGAGATACACATCATATTGATCTATCGCGCACATTGGAATATGTATTCGAGCAGTTATAAAAATTATTCTTTTCCTTAGTAATTAACCTGAGGCCATCGTAAAAGATGTAATTGGATCGCCCCAACCCTGTGCCGTTAAGCATACCTGAACATATAGTATCATAGTCCGTGTGCCATAACTCCAAACAATTTGGCAATTTTATAAAATATTTCAACGTCCGTCTATACCCTATACATATGTACTTACAATTAGTCGTAGTTTAAAATGTAAAAATGAAATATTAAATTGAACCTGACGAGCTTTTGTCGATCTTCGAAACGAGCTAAGGAATTGCAAATGAGTCTAATTATTCGGCAGATAAAATTAACGACAATGATTATAGTTCCGACAGGATACGAATTTCTACGGATTCATATATTAATACGTAAACTTTGACCCTGACGAAGTCTCCATGTTTCATTTGCCATTACGATTTTTATCAAGAGACAAAGTATATTCATCCACGTGCGTTATATATCGTTTCTCGTATCTTCGTTATAACGTTATTTATATATATGTATATACACACATATATACGTACATTCACGTCCTATAATCGAAGAAATAAACGTTCGACAATTAGCGTAATACAAACGAGACTTGCGTTTAACGTTTATGTGCAAGTCGATTAAGTATGACGCCCCGATGATTACACCAGTCGGAAATCTGCATGAGAAATTTCAAAGTTTTCATAGTCCTTAGTAGTCAGATGCCTTGAAGTCAGACGCGTTTCCAGTTACACCAAATACCAATCGGACTAAATTTACTATCATTGCGCTTGCACGCGAGTGCATATGTATATATACATAAATTCCATAGAATGCATGGATATATGCAATTACGTAAGGATCACGATAATGCAGTAGGCATTGCGTGTTGCGTTTCATGTGGTATCGTTCGGTGGTCTCGATTATTTGGTAATTATAATGCTGATTGTTTGATCCGATCGCGGGGAACTTTTATATAGGCTTGAAGACACGTAATAGGCCCCTTCAAAGCACACATTCAATGTCAATGAAAGTACAGTAGAGTCACGCTACGTAAAGTGCATCGAAACTTCTAGTGCTGAATATTATTTCGAACTGGCTCTCGACACGTGTCCCCAGTCAAGTAATAGACCGGTGGGGAAGTTTGCAGAGAGCGAAGGAAGATAGAGAGGGGGGAAAAAAGTTTTCCATTGTCTGATCGATTGGTTTTGAATATTCTACGCTGGTTGTGCGAACCACCACGTGCTTTGAAAGAACCCAACCCAACCCACAGGATAGGATCCGCCCTGCACCATCCGTTTACATTGGTTGATATATCTATGTATAGATTTAAGTAGGTAAAAGTCGTCTTGTAAATTCCACAATTAATGAAAATTGAGTGGACGTTGTTTTATAAATATTTTATACGCTTTCTAAACGTATTTGAGGTCGAGTATATTTATTACACGAATTCAGCTTTTATAAACGGCACTACGAATACGTGAAGCAACTGAAACTACGTGAATCAAAGAGTAAACAGAATGTAAGATGAATGTCCTATTGATATTCTAAGTAAACCGTCTCACTCTAAAAGTGTAAATTCATAGGGATAAAAAGGGAGAGGAATAGTGTCCCTGTTTCTGAGAAGGGCAACGCTGTCTCGCCATTGGCTGTTCATCGAGTGGTGGGGAAAGCCAACTGTGGTGTAAGATACTGGGACACTGTTAGCTGGGTCTTTTATCTTTCAATTAGAGGTTAGAGGTTAGAAAGAAATGTGCTTGATACGTTATTCGTCTGGGGATGTCAGGGAAAAATATTGTCATGGAACTCGTGACTTGGTACTTACTCATTAGGAATTTTAATGAACCTGGTCCCTCGACATTTTCATTTCCTACTTCGACGGTTGCCCATCTAGATAATTGAATTTCCGTTGCAAACCACTTCTGCTGGGACCTAACCGGTATTTGTTATGTCGTATTTCCTACGGGATTAACGACGCTTCGAGGTGTCTGTACTGAAATATTTAGTGTCGCGTTGTAAAGGCTTGAAAATACTTTCAGGTCGATCATATCTAAGCGAATGTTTTACAGCACAGAGTGGTAATTAGATTGATGAAATTTTCAAGCGCATCTACTTCGGTATGAATTTTGTATATTTTTAGGTAAGGGTGATGATTTTCATTTGTGCGACGAACTCATTTCTAGTTGATCGACGGTAACCTGATCTTTCACTGGTTAATGTAGAAGGACGAAAGGCTTAATAACACGACCGGTGCAACAAGTTGCCGTTTAGCAGAATCGGGTGTAAGTCATGATAGTGGATTGCACTGAGTCGGTCACCGGATATCCGGAACTTTGGCTTTTTCCTACCACGATAACCTTGATAGATGAAGCACTACTTCCTGGCAGAGCTTGTAACAGAAGCCAGCAAGTGTCTGCAGGTACTGTGAATTAATTTAGTTGAATAATAGTTGAAAAATTTAATATCCTAAGAAATATGAAATTATTAATTGTTTTAAAATTAAAATTCGAGGTGGTTAACGGTTTTTATACATTTACAACGTATTAATTAGTTTTTATGAATATTTTTTTGATTATTTAGCTCAATATTCAAGAAATATTGAATTCGAGTGTTCCACTGTCACAACCAGATAGCCGACCGCGTAAAATGCGATGCAGCTTTTGCCCACAGAATGCAGACCGGACAGCGAACCTCTTCTATAAAGTTTACTCACACGAAATTGGCTACGAGGATCGGGTAAAGCTGTAGCAAGTCTCTTCCGAGCAGAATTAAGATAAAGTTTTTATCGTTCCTCTTTTCACGTAAATTATTAAAATCATATTTTTCTAAATATAGCATATGTAAAAAAATGAAATGGTAAAATATCTTTCCTTTTTGCCTTTCGAAATTTCGTTATTTTTTACTTTTTTAAATAATTAAAATTTTAAGGGTCATCTGGTTACCCTAATTTTTTTTATTGAAGTCTGGTCCTTAAGCTTTCAGAAAATCAAGGATTGTTTTCCGCCCGTTCAGCGACGACAAAAATTAATAATAACTGGACCTATTGCAAATTTCTTTTTTCGAGCGTATCGAAAGTTTTTAAGCAGTGCTATATTTGTAATGCAGGTCTGAGTGCTTTAAGAACTGCACGAACATCTAGTCTATACTCTACGATTTCCAAATATATCGAATTTTTTCAAATTTGATAATCAGAGCGAAAATAGGGCAAAAGAAACAAATGGGGTCCATCGGACCCCAGAGTACACTCCGCGCACCTAAAAGTAAAAAGGATTAAAGTATGAACGTAAATGCCTCAAGATCGTCAACGAACGTCAATGCCTCGCTTTCACGCGTAAGACAAAAATATTTATTTAGATTACAGACCATACGTAGATATCTTATCTTGCATAATACCATTATCTGCTATCTGACTTAAATGATATCAGTCATATAAAAAAGATGAGTATGTCTCTAGTTCAAGCAAGACGAATGGTTTTTCAGTAGGGTTACCCAATTTTTTTAAACGAGTCTTGCGAAGCCCTGTTAAAATGATTGAACCATGGACGGAAGAGTTCAACGAACTCGATGATCGGTTCACGTGCTAAGGTGAAAGTTGAGCTCTAGTAGGTGGCCAGAACCAACAAAAATTGAGGTTAGAGATGAAATTTCTCTAGTTACCAATCACTGAGAAAAAAATCATATTTACTGCATTGAAAAACCAAAAAAAAGAGTCTGTTGATTCATAAAAATTATCAAGATCAAATTACGGATCTAATGTTATATTCAAAACGTATACTAGTCATTTAGCCTGAACTTATAGGCCCATTTGATTCATATGGTAGAAATATGTTCAGATGGTTTGTTTGGCTAAATAACCGGGTACGACTGCTAAGACTTATGGCTTATCGTCCTAACGGTATCAGATCCATTTAATCGAAAAAGTTAGAAATTTCCTGAATAGATTAGCAAACTTGGAAGATATACAGCAAGAGATAAGGCAAACTGTGGTATCCTAAGACTCTTCTCGTACGTGTACCCTTTGACTCGATGGTGGCACTAATCAACTTCTCAAAGAGCTACCAAATTAATGGACTCGGATCCCCTTGTGGATCTGTAAGGTACATCACCCCTGCAATTGTATACATACATAATGTATAATATACTTCTAGTATATAGGTACACTTGTGCGTGCGTATACATTACGTATTTAACGCGCGTGTCTCTGCCTCAACTCTTCAACCTAGTTTTTTTTTTTACAATGCACTAGCTAGTTCCACCGAGAGGTAAGAAACCTATCCTTCAAAAATGGCAACGCCCTAGGATAGATTAAATGGTATACGTGATATGTAACGGGTAGGTTAGATAATAAATCTTATCAAATATACATTGCAGAAACCCATTGATCTCTGTGATAGGAGTACGTTTTACGTATATAGCTCCGATAAGCAGATATTGTATATACCTAAACATTTTTGCTTGTATTTCTTGGAAGCATGTTGTATCAATACAAAAATATAGAGAAGGAAAATATAAATGTTCTTATAGCGTGTGACTGCAAAATGTAACGAATTTGAAAATGGGTTTTCCTTGGAGTTGCAATATTGATAATTATTCTTTTTTTTTAATCTTCAATTTCGGAGGGAATAACATCCGTGCGGAATATATTTCATTTCTCTGATCTACGGACGTTGATCAAATAATCTGTTTACATGGTACACATAAGAGAAGCTGCTTAATTCATCCTAAATCATCAAACGTGATATTACGATTTTTGCCCAAGCAGAAAACGAGAACGAGATGTCCCTTCGCTCAGTCAATAATACGTGAACAAAAATCGGGCAGGAGGTTCGATCGATGTCGTAACCTAGGAAAAAAGCCACGAGGCAATTTTCACGCGATGCGTGACCGACTACCGAGTTCAGTCGGGTACAATCTAGGAAACGACGAAATTGGGCTGTAGAATTATTCGATAGTGTTAGAAAATTTCTGATTTCGGATCCATCTATACGCGTATCTATATAGAAACTGAATTGTATTATATACACACATATATATATATACCTAATAAACTATGCAAAAGCACATATAGGCACAACAGTATAGTATGAATTAGCCGACAAATGATGAGTGTCTCTTATCACGTTCTGGTGGGGTCGCTGCAAACGTTGGGACGCCGAGCGTCGTTGTTAGGCGGCGCCAATCGCGTCGGTACCCGTCGCCCTGACGAGTCGTCGTCGTGGTCGTGTGGCGTCGCGTCGCCGTCTCAGCGACGTAGCAGTGGAACGACGCTGGCCGTAGTGGCGTGGTGGTAGTCCACGACGGTAAAGGGAGAGAAAATATATATATGAATTAAAGAAGAAGAAAATAGAGAGAATAATAGAGTGAGAGACTGGTTACAATGTGGTAAGGAGAGCGACGGAGAGGGACAGGGTAGGGGGAACAGAGGAAAAAGGTGAAGACCTTTCAGAGAGGGAGGCGCTCAAAGAGAGAGAAAGGAGGGTATCTTAAGAGTAGCACAGCATGGCCGATCGAGGACTGAAGAAAGACAGAGTTAGGTTCATCGTATATATAAACAAGAAGACAGAGAGGGGGAAAGAGCGAAAGATACAAAAGAACCGTAGTACCGTAGTGAAGTAAGGCGAGGCTAGCGCCTCCGTCTAGCAGTCCGACGGCCCTGGCGGCTTCACCTCCTCAGTGCCTTGCTCACTTTGTCAGGGCGAGTTACAACGGAGTCGCCGGTCTGCTGCAGGTTTCCAACTTGCTCTCGCGATTTATAACCCTCTCTCTTGCTCTTACTTTGCCTTCTATTAATTCTTTCGCTTGTCCTTCCTACCTTCCTACTCTCTTTACTACTTGACAATTTCACTCATTAGACTGATCCTCATTTCCTTGGACTTATCCTCCTTAAGACACATTCCCTCCACGCGTTTCTTTTCTACACTCTTGTTGTATCCTTTAGTACTGTATACTTTCTTGTACATACGAGAGCCACTCATTCACTTCGTACCAACGGCAACCAGTATAGTTTGGCTTTCACACTCTTGGTCCACTGTTCTTACGATTAACGAGATTCTCTCGTCTTTACTCTTGACAACAAATTGCAAGAGACCTGCCTCCGTCCTGTGTCTCAGCGCTGTAAATAGTATACGCCTTCTCGTGGAGTGAATGATTATTGCGTGTATATATATCTGCAAGATTCCTAAATGACACTGGTGTTGCATTTTTCTTTTAAATCCTTTTGTGTGTGCGCTTAATCGGTGCGTGGCGTGTCGTCTCCTTTTGGACGGGCAAACGTGTGCAGTGCGTGCGGTAATAACGTTACGCGGATCAGTGCGGGTTATTTCGTAACGCGTCCACGCCTCCTTCTGGCGTCAGAGATCCTCTTTACGGTCAGAGTCCTTGAAGGTTTTATTATTTAACATTTAATTAATGATTTCTTGAGTTCTTTCCTGCTATGATGGTCTGCTGGTCACTCGATGAATCATCTCGTTAAATAGTATCTGTTACATCAGATTCAAATCAGTTATCTATATCTGACAATTGAAAGCCGACATATCAAAGAAAAATGCATTGAATTTATCATTCCTATTGTTATTATATTTCTGGCTTGTATTCTGACAATTGACAGTGACTATTTTTACGAAGAACTAGCACGATCGAAGAAACAGTTTTTCTCTGAATACATTTTACGGACAATACGACCTAGAGGTCTCAAACAAGGTTCGATCGAATTCTTATGGGAAATTATATAGCCTGACAATTTCGTAGGATATAGAATTTTTGTATTTGACTGTAGGGTCTTATCTGTGGTATGTTGAGAGGACGAGGTATATCTAGTAACACAGAAAGAGTTACCATATAGTCTCAAGTTTCTATTCTCAAGTGATCGTTTTATCGCCTTTATACGTGTGCTATGCTATATATCACGTGCGAATTAATTGCTGGCCAATCAAGACGGATAAAGCAGTAGAACGATGAAGGCGTTAAAGCTTGGTTAACAGTTTAGCTTATTCACAGTGAGTAGTAGTGTAACGAGCGTCTTGCTTTACAGGTTATTCAACTAGCTATATCACCGGCCAACGTACGTCCAATTGAGTAAAGACACTCAAAGAGAAATAATAAAGGATCTGAAGAAGATATGGAGTGGAGCCTTGTGAATTTGTGGGATTCAAGTGAGAACGTTCAGTGCATGGGACACGTGCGTGTTACGCGGGATGTTTAGATTGTAGTGCGACGGCGTCGACATTCCTTTTTATTATCGGCTAGTACTCGAGCGCACGTTTGAAGATTTTCCATTAGACAAAACCATAAGCCTACGAATGATCGAGACTAAGTAAACTGATTGTTTTCATTATCTAATAAAATAGGGGACCTCATGGAAGTTGGTAAAATCGGTACAAGCCAAAATAAAAAAAAGCAAAGTTTTTCCTATAAAAGTAACGGATAATCAAATGAATACACAAAGCATATATTTCGCGTGATGCCGAAGGGACATTCGTGCCTAAACATATTAAAGACGACCTGAAGATACGGCCTTTAAAAATCAGTGGCTTAAGTATAAAAAATAATAAGAAATAATAAAAGTGAGAGAAAAAATACAAAAAGAATAGTTACGAGTCATGGAAGGATCGGCAGTGCCGCACCTAGAGCAAGCAGCTTCAGCCGCCTGCACAATGGCTACAAATTTTCTAGCACCGGTCAAAACCGAACAACAAATATATGAGAATTCTATGCTCGAGGATGACCCTAATGCGAATTCTGTGGTACCCACTTCGTCGGAGGACAGGACTGTACCTAGATGGGGCCCTACTCATAAAGGGGCCCAGGAATTGGCAAATCTCTACAGCACTGGTAAGCACGTGAATCTGTTTCCGAACGAGGCCGATTTGAAATTTAGTCTTTCCCAATAGGCACAAACTCCACTGAATCGAGACGATCGTTCCACGATTTTTTTTTTTTTTACTTATTTACCTTTTTTTCAATCCTGTCAAAGACTTTATTCATATCAAATGCATGAAAATCATAATTAATCATTATCCAAAATTACATTCGCTCCATACGCAAACATCATTTATGAGAATCACAAGGTGGCCGTATTCTCTTACTAAGATATTTCTATCCAAATTGATATTAATGGCAAAATAAAAATAGGTTCTAATCAAATCAGCCTGTCATACAACCTCTTAGCAGATAAAGAGTCAATCGTTAATTCCTGACAGATGTACAAAACTCCTAGAAGCTTTTAAGTAATCAGCTGATAGTTTGAAAGAAAAGCAACGTATTCTGTCGTTTGAAATAAACCTAGAATTTTATAGTCATAATATAAGTTGTAAACAAATCGTAACTTCAGAGGTCCTATTGTAACGTTATTGGCACGACAAATTACGAGCGCAAAGCGTGACATCATTTTCCATAGAATCACAACATACGAATGAAGCATAAACTAGCCAATACGCAAATGTTTGCAATTAGTATAACGACGACATTCACGTTTCACAATAACAACCAACAATGCTGACTATTTTATACTCACGATGACATCAATAATTTGACATTTTAACTGTCAGCCCATAGTTATTTACTTATTGGTGGAATGATTGAACTATTCATATCGATGATGGCCAGTTTATAATAGAATTAGTACTTTTTTTTTTTCTATAAGCACAAAATGAAGTGTCAGCATCGTTTGACAGGTAATTGAATATTTCGATCGCTGAGTATATACATATATATGTACAGTCTAACAATTCCTGCTTTATTCCTGAAAGTAATATTCGCATCAAGTTACTAAATAGATTCCATACAAATAGGGTTTTTTGGATATGAAAATTTGTATGTTTGAATAAACTTTTAATAACTCCATTAAATTGTGTGCAGTAAACGCACTTTGACTTTTGTACGACTATACAAGTATCATGTTTTCATTCTAATTTTGTAATTCCTTAGAGTGGGAAAACTCTATTGTCTCTGCTTCCGGGCAGGTAAACAATTATGAATTAAAAATGACATAAAAATTGCATTATAGGTTATAGTTATAATGTATATTTGAATATACGTTGTGCTAATATTATTCCAAAAATTACATGTATTTTTCTGTTATCTATAACATTATCGTTCTCTGGTTTCAATCAATACGAAAAGGATTTGTCGAAAGCCAAGTAAACACGATGGAAACAGATCCGGCAATAAAACGGCTGGTACAACGTGGTCTATAAATAAAAAGCTGTAACAAAAAATGTTTACGGTTTCATGAGAGTGAAGGAGCTGCCACGTTATACCGCGATTATAGATACATGAAAACTGACGTTAACGCATTAAAGATACATACTGTATATATGTATAAACTCCTATAGACTCGGTTACTACAGTATAGAAAACAGGATATACACACTAAACGCATCAGCTGAAGTTGGGCGCAAGTGGCAGACACGGCAATGGGACCTCTTCAAAAAATGACAGCTAGGCACATTTCACCGTGACCGATTCACTTAAGCGCACACTGACAGTTCGCATAACAATAGGTTAGGTTTTCAAAATATTTAAATAGTTTGATTACTGAAATAATTAACAATCTCCTCCTGCCATTGACTACGGGAGGGGTGAAGACAAGAAAACTAAAGAAACTCAGCTCCTCAGATTCCCCAACACTCTTTGGGGACATCTTCTCCTATGTCCCTATCGACACCACTAAATTTCCAGAAATATCCCAACACTCCTGTGAATCCATTTAGATATCCTGAAACTGTCCTGAGAGTTATTGCAATCTGTTGTAAAAATAAATGTTAACTGATATTACATTTTGTCTTTACAATATTAATTTATTATTTCGGTAACCGAACTATTGAAATATTTATATAACCTAACTTATTCCTATGCCAACTGTCAGTCTGCGCTTATGTGAATTAGTCACGGTAAGCTGCGTCGCTGTCATTTCTGGAGAGGCCACACTGTCGTGTCGGCCACTTGGGCTCAACTTCAGTTGGTGAGTTTGTACTAACTCTGTATAAAAAATTCAATTCAAAATTCTTGTGAAAAAACATTGTGAACAAAAATTTATAAAAAGTATAACAATTTGCAAATTGTAATAACAAAAATATTTAGGGTTGACTCTCTTTCTCTTCTATCTTTAACCCTTAAATACAACACTTTAGCAGACACCCGAGTGACGGGAACACCAGAATGGGTGTGCATAATAACTCAGTGTAATGTTAATGGATTAAGAACAAAAAAAAATAACATTAGGCATTATATATGCCCGGCATTGAATACCCCCAAGAAAAAAATGTATATGAATGAATATATTTGTGTATATATTTGCTCGTGTGACCCTTAGTCTCACTCTCGCTTTCTCTTTCTATATTTCTCTCTTTTATTCTATTATATTCAACCTCCATGCTCGTCTTTTATTGCAATTTCGTTACCAGCATGCCTGTTCCATTTAATCCTGCTAGCGTCACGCACAATTTTACATAAAACACGCACAATATTCCATCCACACCTCAACGTTTTCACTCCTATCAATTTCTACGACAAACGCAAAGGAAATGGCGTACACAGAAAATAATTTCTTTTTTTGAACAAATAATTAATTATTTGAAACATACCTTATAATAACATACATTATTTGAAACAATGTGCCATCTTGAACAACAATCAATTCTCAGATAGTGGGCATATACTTATAATACGTTTATTGGTTATTTCCTTCGCTTGTAAGCGAAGCCGAGATTTTATCGCCAAAAATATACCGAATAAATTACAAGTTTAAACCAATTTTACAAGTTTCTAATATTACGTCAAGCTTCGAATAAAAAAGAAACGATAATAAAAATTAATACCTGTTATCAATAATTACTGTTTACTATAAGAATTTTAGCTTTTACATTATCCTCGTGGAAACGTGGTTCAACTCTAAAAATATTAAATTATTTGAATTCTCTAAAGTTAACTGTAACAACTGCTGTGAGACAGACAATTTAGAGATTATCATTTTTTGATCACTGAATGACATAACCACAACGATCGTTCGTCACACGTAGAACTGACTCATAATGCCGACTGTTGATTCAAAAAAAAAAATACGATCTTTATTCGTGGACCAAAGAAAAAGTATCGAAGGTCGTTTCGCAAGAATGGCTACCAAGGGTGATAATTATGTCACTTGATTGCCGTTCTTGGGATGAAGGGAGACAGGCAATAAATAAAAAACCTGAGAAGGACTTTTCTGTCGAGTAAAAATGAAGTATAGAGAATCCTGCAGGGAGAGGATCTACCGAGTTTAATAATTTCATCGAAGACAGATGATATAATAACTCATCAGGAGCTTGATACGAAGTGCCCGTCCTCCTTGTGTCCTGATGGTTTATCCCCGTCAAGGAGTATCGGGAAATAATGTAATGACGTAACGCTGCTTTAGAGTATTTATGTAACTTTAATAAAGATAATTAATGAATCAGCCATTTCTCAAAAGATCGTATATCCACTATCGTAATGCGATCGTCTCGTCTGTCGAGTGACTGTATTATGTCATAATACTCGGAACGATACAACTCGCCAATCTAATGGCATATAATTTACTTTACCAGATTATTTAACTGTTTTTCATATTGCGGGAAAGAGTCACGCATGTACAGGTTGTTAGTGATTATTTAATTTTTATTATTTTTTTCTTTCACAGGAAAAAGGACGCAGGAGTGTATCTGCGTGGGAATCTGCATAACGTTGATGGCGCTCAATTTCGTGTTCATTGTCGTAAGACTAAGGCTCGAGAATTTGAGTTCGATAGCCATCGCTGCGTTGTGCGGCATCATTACAGCTGATTTTGGATCCGGCTTGGTACACTGGGCTGCGGACACATGGGGATCCGTGGAATTACCTATTATTGGGAAAGTGAGTGAAGTTACGATTACTTTTACTTTACGTATACCGATCCTAGTGCCTGATACTTGATTTTCTTTCTAATTCACAGAACTTTTTGAGACCATTCCGAGAGCATCATATAGATCCAACGAGTATCACCAGGCACGACTTTATTGAGACAAATGGTGACAATTTTATGGTGACCATACCGTTTCTATGTAAACTTACCTGGGACTTTCTTGTGCTACCTGAGTCTGACGTACAGCAGAAATTCCTCTGGACGTGTTATTGGTTCCTCTTAGCCATCTTTGTGGCGATGACCAATCAGGTATTTTTTTAATGATCTTATATCTGTGTTTTTCATTATTTCAAATGACCTACATAATGGACGAACTTTGAGGATATATACATGTGTACACATGAAACTGCCACGGGGCGTGTCGAACTTTTTATGATAAAATCAATATGTTGCACTAGAGGAACATCCGTTCAGTCATAATTGCCTTCACCTGCCTAACCCACAATATAATTGCTTGCACGAACGAAATCCTGGATACCGTTACACTTGAATTTTATAGATTCACAAGTGGTCCCACACGTATTTCGGTCTACCAGGCTGGGTGGTTTGGCTCCAGGAACACAGGATCATCCTACCTAGGAGACATCATCGGGTGCATCACGTTGCGCCTCATGAAACGTACTTTTGTATAACCACTGGATGGCTCAATTGGCCTTTAGAGAAGCTGTGCTTCTGGTCCATCCTGGAGACGATCATCGAGAAGTCCATAGGCTGCAAACCAAGGGCGGACGATATGAAATGGGCACAGAAACGATCTTGAGAGTCGGTACGAGTTCTTGTACAGTTATACTCTGTGCCGGTGATCTAGAAAGATCAATGGATCTATCAATTCGGAATGTACTTTAGATCCGATGATCAAGGCGTGATCTCATCTGCTTGGATCATTTTATTATTATATATTTTAAATATCAAGGCAAAGGGTTTACACTTCCGTGATGCAATGCCGTACTGAACAAGATGATAGGACCGACTCTTCGTGATCGATTAGATAAATATTGCCTACGAAAAGATAGTTAATCACGGGCAATAATTATCTTTTATTATTAATATCGCGAGGCTTTTTCGCGTGATATCATTATTTTCTTTGGCATGAGGACTGTATTATTTGTTGAGCCGAATGCTTTTAAACTTTACACGTTTGTAATACCGCTGCGCAATAATGTAATCTAAGGCACAACAATGAAGACTCGCGTGTTTATGTATTTGTTACTTTGGTCGAAATGTCAGATGTGATATCGCATACAGGCAATCTGACGAATTTATCACGAGAGATGTGTGTAAAGTGAATTGAACGAGTTTCACACGAAGTTTCGACTCTCCGAGCCTTTGAAGGAAAGTGAGATTAAGCAAGATGCATTAAGAGAGATACTGTATGGACCTCAATGAAATCTTTGAAAAGAGAAACAACCTACGTTAGCCTGGGCTAAAAAAAGAATTACTGGCCTTAAGTGCAGGAAGAGAGTAGGAGAGAACAAATAACGAATAAGAATAAAATTATAGTATTAATTTAAAGAGAGAACTCACGAGATATCTGAGATATATCGAAAATATTTATAAACATATTTCCGACGACAGATTAAATAATGTTAACGTTGACGTGTAACTAAAGCATATATATATATATGATTTATATTGCTATATAAAAAATGATTAACTATTTCACACACAATCATTTGCACAATAAGTCTATAGATAGAGAATTATAAATATTGACAAATTACTATAAACGTCGACTTGGAAATTTATTGAGTCGATTAATGAACACTTTGCTGACCAGTTATTTTAAGCCAAAACTATATCGTGCAGCCGAGATCTATATTTCTTTCGAGCCAAAATTTGCATAAACTGATGTAAATGCAAACACGAGTGACTGGTCAGCAATATGTTAAATTGCCCGCAAACGAGCCTAAACGCGCTTCAGTTATTTACAAAATAACGTTCCCTGTACCGGCATGAAATTTTAAAGCAATTGCCATACACAATGTCATATGAAAATCGAATTCGCACACGTGGGCCCTAAGCGCTTTTAATACACGCAATGGTATGGATTTCCTTTCCAGTTCTTACACGGAAATAATAAGAGAATAATCGCGAGCGAGAGACAAAGAACGTAGTTCCTTGAAGTCGAATAAGTGCGAAAATCATAATTTTTTCATTTTATCACACGTAGAAAGAATCCGATCATTTTTCAAATCTCGAACCATTTAAAAACTGTGAATCTACGTCACTGTAACCTAAGACTAAGACTTACAGGGAAGCGTACCGATAAAGCGCAATATAGTAAATACAAAATAAATCATAAAAATTCTATTAAGATCATTCACGTGCATTAGGTATACGTTATTTAATGATAATATACCAATTATTATCGGTCACACTTCCCCTATACTCTTATCTCGTAAGAATGAGATTACGAAGAATGTAAAACTTATGTGCTAAGTGCAAGTACAAGTTTTAGGTTCAGGGACCAAAATAAAAAGGAAAAGGGCCTATTGCTCGACGTGACAGTTTTTCGATTTGAAATGTGTGACTCCAAATATCGTATACCTATTGAAATATCGTATGTACTCGAATGATTCGATATTTTTATTCATTTTTAAAGAACAATAATTTTATTCATTTTATATTTATCTCATTCAGTGACATCTTTCAGAGCGACATATATCCGAAATCGCTTAGGTACTCTGGTAGTCTGTGAACAAATATTTATGTGCGCTGTTACAAAAATTATATATTTATTTTTTAACAACGGTCTACGTCACGCGAATTCGAGTATAAGCGTTATGCATGCAACTTCGTACACTTTGAAAAGTGGTCGCACGGTGCAAGGTATGATCCTCGCAAGCAAGTCAGTAATAATGTCTTTTTTTTTAATGAATTACTATATTAATACATACAGTGTCTGTAAAACGTTACGGCCATTATTAGTCGATTATTACTGTTGTTGTTATTACTTAGTATAGTAAATCTTTAAGTGAACATCTTCGAACGTGTGATGATTGCGAATACGTGAGTGTGACATTTTTTTTACACTATGCTTTTTATACATATAATGTATATGCGTTATACCGAATGGGGGTTTTTAAATATGAAATTATGTAGCAAACTCTTATTGGCGTGAGCATAGCGTAATCAAAATGAGTAATGCTAGAGAGAATATAGATATATAGAAAGGCGTGTTGTGCTAGTCGAGCAGTCAAAACTTCATTTTCTGTGCTAGCATTACTTTTTGTTTTTTCATACAAATTTTGAAATTTTTGTGGCAACAATTATATGCCTCTTAGGCTGCGAACTTTGTTAGTACACTTTTTTTAAAAGCTCGGCGATCGGCTGGAGCCGCAAAATCGGAAGAGGCTGAGAAAGGCTGTGAAATAATCAAAAATATGGGAAAAAATATAAAAATAAACGCGCTAACGCCAGTTACTTAATTTTTTTTTGTACGAATTGTATAAAATTGAATTTTCTATATAACCACTCACGGTCCATACATAGTCTCATAAAATCGTATAACGTAAGCAAGCAATTCATTAACTTCTACTGTAAACAGAAAATGGTCGATTTTGACTGCTTCATATAATTAGGTGCGTAACTATATGTATATATCCGTAAGGATGTCGTTTGAAAAATTCCTTAAGATAAATCATGTAAAGAGAGTAAAAGAGAGAGAGAGAAAGAGAGAGATAGGGTGTGAAACTAGACTAAGGAACGAAATGGAGAGAGAACGAGCGTGAAAATTACAGTAATAGAACCCAGAGAGACACAGTTAATAGAACAAAGTTTTGGAGCAAACAGATTTTCCTGGAGACACACTTCCGCGTCAACTGTGGCGATTGTGTCCTGAGCATTGGCCGCTCTTGAAAAAGAAATTAATTTCACGAACGCCAAAAGTTTCAAATCCAAACATTACTGAACAACTGCGAACGTTACTGTCATTTGCATTCAGAATTTAGTTTCTTGTTGTAAATTCATTGAACGGTTCGCCCGAAACTTTTGATACAGTTTATTCCGGCCTTGCGCGCGCGCGCACAAACATACATAAATCCTTTTTTTTTGCTGTATCCACGATTGCATAAGTCACTTCAGCAAGATATATGTAAGTCATGCCTAAAAACACACCCACTATTACCCTATCTCAACACTGTCATATTCTATCATGAAGAACATTACGTCACTGCTCATCCGTAATGAGTGTTGATATTACACTTTTGTGTGTGTATATATATATATATATATTTAAATCGAATTAGTCCAGAACGAGCAAATAATAATGGACGTTTCGTTTCAATTTTTCATGTATATCCGTAAAAGGACGCTTCGAACGAATGATTTAATAGTAACAGTTAGTCATGTAAATTATAAGTTATGTAAGAGTGAGTACAAATGAGTGAAAATGAGAATGAGTGCAACGAAGAAAGAGAGAAAGAGAGGGAAACAAATTTTAGAGAAAATTGTATCTGTATATTTAGAAGGACGTATGCATACACACCGTCATAGACACAAGCGCGTGCTTTAGACTTAATAATTAATGACTTTCTCAATGATAGTGACGCTTCGAAACGTGATTAAGCAATTAGCAAAACAGTTCAGAAAATGCCTTATCTAAGCACTTGCACCACACTATTTTCATACAAAATGCAGTTCGCGCTCTCTTACCTTGTGTATTGTATACAGGGTGTCCCAAAATTACCTGACCAACGGGGTACGGCGGTGTTCGGGAGGCACCACTGATCACGAAAATGACCTTCCTTTTGTCCGGAAGGTCATAGTTTTTAAATGGGAGCAGGTCAAAGTTGACCAATCAAAGGAAGGCGTCAAGAGAAACGTAGGCAGCTGCGACCTCTGAGTTTTCTTCCCTCGCTTTTGTTTCTCGGTAGCTTGTTTCTTGTTTCCAATAGGCATGTCTTCGGCTGACGTCATACTGCATGAAGCCACCGAGAAACAAAAGCGAGGGAAGAAAACTCAGAGGTCGCAGCTGCCTACGTTTCTCTTGACGCCTTCCTTTGATTGGTCAACTTTGACCTGCTCCCATTTAAAAGCTATGACCTTCCGGACAAAAGGAACGTCATTTTCGTGATCAGTGGTGCCTCCCGAACACCGCCATACCCCATTGGTCAGGTAATTTTGGGACACCCTGTATATATATTTTTTCTGAAAACACCCTAATAGTTCTCATCGTCGTAATTAATCGATCCGCTAATTAAATCGCGAATATTTTCGATCACGATTACTTATTTTTTTACTCGTCAGCCAGTTATATAGTATTCCACGAACAGGCCTGTCGTAACGGAACGATATACCTCGGAATGCGTGCGCCATGCTGCTGCCATTTTATTTGATCAATCCTCTGGTTTTTCTATTTCTTTTTCCTTTGGTCACACGTCCATCGCCATCATTACTCAAAACGAACGGAACCTGGTTAAAACGAAAGGGTCGAGATTTTTGTATTGCACACTATTAAAGGTTACAGGAAGTGCGTGATCAATTTATGGTTAAACGGCAGGAAGTTCTGATTATTATATGCGATTATTCAAAGAAGGAAAAACTAATAAATAAGAAAGCGCAATATATATGTAAAATACAATAGATTTGACGTACATTCAATTTTAGCACAAATATGTCTACTGGATACTATATATATATATGGTTGGAGATACTAAATAGATATTAAATATGACGGATGTTTCTCCGATATGCCTGCTATGGCTCGCAGAATTACACGCGAAATTTATAACTGTGAAGATTTTTGCTCGATCGTTTTTAGACGATATTAGAGTTGATAAGTATTTTGCACTACATTCAAAGAAACGTAACGCACGTTGGGAAGGTAAATGGCCGAAGTGTGATTTTCCCGCCGAGAAATTCAATATGTGAGAAAAATTTAAATAGTGACTGAATACGCACGTAGTGCGCGGAGTCGACAACTTGACTAGCACATTTCTCGACGAGCGCGCGAGTCATTCGAAAAAAAAATAATTAACGAAAACAATAATGCCCTAGTGTTGTTACAAAAGGGAGTAATTTACGGAGTAAAAGGAATAAGAAAAAAATAAGCGAAGAAAAAAACGCGAGACGTTATTTTGTAATAACGTAGAATAACATTATCTTGTGATACAGCAGATTTTATATATCTAGTTTATACAGCAAAGCATTGTACGCGTGTATATTATCTTATTTGTTATATCACGACATTGTCTGTTTTTTCTTTTGTAATAAAAAAAAGGAAAATTACGGAGGAAAGATAATAATATACAAAGCAAAAGATACGTTGTATGATAAATAATTTTTGCTTGCAAATGAAGCGAACAGCTGCTAAATAAAACACGAAATATTCGTATATCTATACACCTCTCATCATGCTGCAGTTTTGATCCTACATATTTTATAACCTATACGTCAGTAATTTTATACGAGAATATTTGACACAAATATTCTGCATGTATGTATATTTATATTAGGCACGTCATTTTATATCATATCACAAAACGGATTACTCATCATGGTCATGCAGTCACTAAATTTGTACTTATTCCAATTAGACATATGATTTTTCTTAATCAAGTAACATTTGAGATAATTTTTAAGAATTATTTTTTTCTTATGCTCATTATGCCCAGTTGGTGTCAGATACAAGAGCCGATAAAGGTACCAGATACATTCCACGTCGAACAGACAAGTTGTACTAGACGGAGAACTCTGAAAATTAGATCGTCTATTAGTTAGATTCGACTTTCACGAAAAAGTTATGACAGACAGTTACATGACCGATTCTGGTTAACGAGAGACCTGCGTGCAGTTGGCCGGCCAACTTTTATTTTTTAAACTTTTGTTTATACCAATCGTTTGATAGTCAAAAGTTTTTTCAGAAAATCAAAATCAAAATCTGGTGTGAAGTTGGCCGGCACTTCTTTGATTCTAGCCGGATTTTATTTTTCCGGAGTTCAATCGATGCAAAATCGTTTGATAGTTGCGAATTAATTAATAAAAACGTTTGATAGTCAATAGTTTTTTCAGAAAATCAAAATCAAAATCTGGTGTGAAGTTGGCCGGCACTTCTTTGATTCTAGCCGGATTTTGTTTTTCCGGAGCTCAATCGATGCAAAATCGTTTGATGGTTGCGAATTAATTAATAAAAACGTTTGATAGTCCATCGTTTGCAAGAAAAATGAGAAAAACCATATGCGAATTCGCATATGGTTTTGCACTATCAAACGAACCAAGCGATGGACTATCAAACGTTTTTATTAATTAATTCGCAACCATCAAACGATTTTGCATCGATTGAGC